CTCACTAAGTGCCACATACGGAATTTTGTTCCACAAAAATTGTAAAGAATTTTGTGTCTTTGAAATGCACTTAGAAGTAAAGCTAATGCAATGTTTTCATTAAAAAACAGCTTGTTGAGTCATAATGATAATGATATTGCTTTAATCCCTACAATGTTGAAAATAATATTTATGGTAGATGAAAACTATTTGAATAATTATTTAGTTTTGATGAACTTGTTGCAGCCCCAAATCAGAAAATGTGGCTCAATCCTAGCACAACTAAAACCCCAACTCAGAAGAATTCCATTATACACTACAAAATTGCTCAAAATGTATCTTAATTTACCCTGCCTGAAAACAGCATTTTCCGACGGGACTAGCAAAATTATTGTGTTTTAAAAAGCTACAAGAAAGGCCTCCCCTGGAATAAGAAAATATAACAACAGTTCTTGAAATAACACTAAATGGATTTGTCCCAGTGGCAAATCTTGTTTTAACACAGTCAGAACGTACCCAAATTAAGACAAAACAGACTTGATTCAAGCATTTATTACCTCACAGTTTATCATTTTCGTGCCGTGTACATAAAGCTGAATTTTCTGCGTGGTCTGTAAACGTACACACAGACCTGCAGAGAAAGTGGAGCATGTTGTGTGAAGAGGAGGAGCAGGAAGCAGCAGTCAGGGGCAAAACGGGGGCAGATCAATGAGGGCCAAGACAGCGGGTCGACTCCAGTCCACTTTCCATTCCCCGCGCGCCAGGCAGCAGCACAGGAAAGACATCTGGAAGGACGACCAGAAGGGAAGACTCTGTGTGAAGTGACATTTTAGTCAAACCGAGCTCTCCTCTTTCTTGTGTTTTTTTTTTTTTTTTTGCCGTGGTCTGTAAAGTATCTTGTGTTCTCTCCTCAGGATAGACAGAGTTATATAAGTGCTTCATATTAAAGAGAAGCAGCGACTGTGCTCTCTTTATGACCGTCCCAGGAGGATACAGGAAGCCCATATTTTGCCGTCGGCTTAAAAACAGCGCGGCGAAAGACTGACTAATGTTGATTTATGAGCTGTCTGGATTTAACCTTTTCCTAGATACCACAATTTAAATTTCTGCTAAACGTGACCCTCAACCGTAGCGTGCCGTAGTAACAGAGATCGATGCAAACGGGGATCAGGGCGTGCATCAGTAGTGAATGTCCAAAATGTCTTTATATAAAATGACCTTTATCTAGTTTTTTATATTCTGCCCTTATTATCAAAGTTGAACGATGTCATGCATGTGAATAGACTTGAAGAGAATATGAAAATCAGTGGAACATAAATGTAGTCTCATATCAACAATAAAAATAACTGTTTTTAACCTGGATTGGAAATTACAATAACAATAATATACATGCTCCCTCACTACAGAGATTCTTTATTCGTCCCACTGCGGGGAAATTCACATCAATTAACTCACTAACCTATAACTTTTTATTCTTAAGTAATGCGTGGTGTTTGTCCCAACAGAAATAGTCTAAAAGTAAAACATTGCGAACAATCATTTCACATAATTCTGTTTTCATCTAAATACACACATTTCATATAGATAACAGAAAGAGCCCTCATGAGTCACTATTGGCACTTTGGGTTGCATACTGATGGGTGTTACTCTTTTTATTTTCACTTTTATACAAAGCTGATATAAAGCTGTGACAGAGGCCAAAATGTTACATACAAAAAATTAAAACATTTCATGAAAAAAACCAAAAACAAAACATGATTTTCTTATCATAATATGCAAATTAGGTGGGTACATTTAATCCCTAGTTCAATTTTGAGCCATCTTTAATAATTAACTAATCTACAGAAAGACTATAGCCTTTTGAAATGGTCAAAATCAAGCGTTTTAGAAAAAAAAGTCTGCCGCTTAAAGGGTTAAACTAATGATGAAATTAAGCAGCTGGCTACATAGAGGAAAGGTTTGTATATTTTTTTCTCAGAGTTGCGTAATATTAGAGATAAAGTGAAGCACATGTGTCTGTCGGGAGTTCAGAGGGTGTGGTCCTTGGTTTCAATGTTTGTTGTGACTGCGACGGTTGTTTTCCAGCGTCTTGTATTTTTTTCCCAGACTGGTATTGATTCCAAATCGATCAGGCACCATTCTGTGATTCCCTTTCGTCGTCCAAAACATCAGTCACCGTGCATGCATACTCCAGCTCTGATAGAAGCAACTTTACAATCTTATATCAGGCATGTCAAAATCAAAAACCTTTTTTAGTGGCCCCTAAAAGACTCATGTCAAATAAATTCATTTGTCAAAAAACCAAAATATGTTTTTTTTTTTTAAAACATAATGAAAGAAAATCACTTTTACACTTTTGGCCCCAACCGCTCTTATTATTTTAAACTCAGCCCCCAACCAAAATGAGTGAGACACCGTTGGTAAATCAAAAAAAAGGAAATGACTCTGCACAGCTTTTGCTCCCAAGAGATTTTAATTCTCACCACACAATGTGACGTTTCGGGTCACTACCTTTCATCAGACATTAAGCGAAGCAGGCTACACACCTGTATATATATATATATACACAGTATGACTAGGTCACATGACTCACTCGAAATACACAAAAAATGTAATCAATGAATCTCACTCTTGCTCTACACCGTGGTATATAACATGGACTTTCTCGTCTCTTTTTAGACTTTGTTTTATAATAAACCCAGAGCGGTGCACCTGGTCGATGTCACATTCATAACCACAGCTTTCCCACACAGACCCGTCCCATCAGATTAAGGAGGGGATTTCTGGTCTGGTTCCGCTGGGTGGGGGCACTTTTCCAGTCTCGTAAAAGAATCTCACAGAAACAGGGGTCATGCCTGATCATCGGTCGTCATGGCGATGCACTGTTGAACTGGATGGGACGTCCTATGAGCTCATGCTTGTTGTCTGTCTATACTACTATTACTGCTTCAACTGTTTCTACGGCGTCTACAATCTCCATGTTAAACATTCTTCTTTAACTCAATCTATTACTTAGTTCAGAATATTAGGGAACAACTAATCATTTTGAATTTTTTTGAGGATAACATTAACAGGGGTTAACATTAAGGACTTTTTACGCTCATCAATTATAGATTTGTGGATAGTAAATAAACAATTGAATTTTGAAGATCCTGAGCTTTATAATGAAGTATAACATGTCTAAATTGGAGGCACAGTGTGACAATAGGAGCTGGTGGTGGATAAGTGGGGTCAGTAACTTCCAATGATTCAATCCAAGCCAATCTACTTTATAGCACATTTTATAAAACACGTTTCCAAAATGCTGCACATTAAAACTCCGCCGAAGTCACCAAAGTTTCCAAAGTCTCACAAAACTTCAAAATCAGACAATATAATTAGTAAATCCATAAATCAGCTGATCCCTGTCTATTACACAAGACAAGACTACAATAATAAAATTCTCATGGGCAACTATCCGAGTATTCGCTGATGACACTTTCAGTAATTACAAGTCCTTCTTCAACATACTACAGCAGCTTGCATTACAGCATTTGCGGCCCACTACTTAAGTATAACATAGCATGAGGGTTGTCTGTGTTGGCGTAGCATCTGCGTGGTGTCAGTGGATGTCTGTATTTAGCTGGCAGGACCGAGCTGTGAGGAAATCAATGTCTTTGTGCCGTCGGCGCTGGGAGCTGTCTGTGCTATACAATAGGACCACTGTCTCTGTGGTGTCTCGGCTCGTCTCTGCTCTTCCTCACTTCCGTTTGCAAAGCTGAAAAGCAAGTTCAAATGGATGAGACACTAGAAGAAGCTTGAAATTATGCATTACAGCAACGGTATATTAAACATGTACTTGAGAATTAGTGAGGCCAAATGAAGGGTCAGATGTACTAAGCGGTGCAATTTTAGCTCCTGGACCACATTGCAGAAAATTTAAAATGCAGATGTTATTTATCTTGACTAAAAAGAGCACAGGTTAGACGTTTGTAGTTTTCACATTATTGTAGTGGCATCTTAATGATTTAAAATGGCTCCTTACGGCTCATCTACAATCAATAATAGCAACAACTGCAAGGTTTATAAAAAGACACACTTCCCTGCGTCACTTTGATCGTCCACAAACTCTGTCCATCAGGCTATAGATCCATCTGGAGCTATGTCCGTCTGTGGAGGCGGATCCCTCTCTCAATATGGGCCTCTACAGGGTTTCTCACTGGGTTCTTGAGTTGTTCGTTGTTGTTGCCGAAGGGTCTAACGTTTATGGACATTGGTCTTCCCGCTCCATATGATTTATCTGCAGATGTAAACGTACAATTATATACTTCTTGCGCTAAAGGGTGCAGTATTTTATATTTGCTTTTTATTAAGCTCCTCCGCATAATAGAGAGTTAATTTTATTTTCACTTAATGTTTATATCTTGGGCGACAGTAGCTCAGTTGGTAGAGCATTGGCCTTTGGGCCTGACTCCCACTGATGACTGCTGTCGTTGTGTCCTTGGGCAAGACACTTAACCCCACTTTGCCTGAAGCTCCCACTGAAAGATTTCAGCTCCTGTGGACTCACCACCTGCAGGAGGATCAGTGAGGGGCTGGTGCTAAGTGTACTGGGTGCAGCTCTGACTGCCACCCCCCCGACCCAGAAATGGATTAAGGGGAAGAAAATGGATGGATGGATGGTTTATATCTTGTTTAGTGTGCTTTGCATTCCAACTATTCTTTAACTGAAATGTTCCCACTGTGGAACAAACAATCTGAATCTTAATGGACTAATGGCTCCTATGTGTTATTATTGCATTTCTGTGTTCGAACTGGTTTGTTGTTAGGGAATCGACAACTTTGTAAAGTCCTCAGAGATGCATAGGGCTATACAAGAATAAATGTAATTGAATTGAAAGTCTGTTCGATGTCCTTGTCCACGTCTCCATGAGGGCCTCACGATCTCATCAAATTCAAGGCTTAGAAGAGTCCAAACAGATTAATCACATGAATCACATGTTTAATACAGACTTATACAGTCGCCATGTGGTCTGTGTCATATGTTCTGTGTCACTGCTGTGGCCGACTCATCTCCCTCTGTCACAAGGAGTAAGATGAAGCAGGAAGAGTTTTTAACTTCAAAACAAGCAGCAGGAACAAAACAAGCAGGCTTCATTGATGTCGCACGTCGAACATGTCTCTGTTCGCAACACTGACACCGATTCATAGAAAACGCATCTGAAGTCTTTGGCGCTAAATCAATAAACCCTGTGTTTCTTCTGTCTTCCAGAGCTCTTGGGTTCAACGAAGAAAGTCAATGTGAACTTCCAGGACACAGACGGGTGAGTGCCAAGCCTTTTTGCAGCAGTTATTTTTGTTACAGGCTTTTCTCACTTTCTCGCTTCACCTTCAGTGCTGAGGCACACTTACGCACCTTTGTGTACGCAACATTGTATTAAAAAGCGAATATTCTGCACAAAAGTATAACAGTCCTAGGGGTGCATTACGTTCTTTTTAGACAGATCAATATTTTTTAGATTAGATTTTATTATATGTCTTTATTGCGCGGCTCCTCACAGCAGAAGTAGAACGCTCCATTGATTTGAGTGTAATTTCAAAATGGTCATTATTTCTTGATAACCGGCCTCTCAAACCAATAATGACCGCTGCCCATGGCAACGAACCCTCTGCTTGTAATTCAGATGTGTAGATTACTCAGCAAGTAGTCCGGCCACTTCGTCGCTACTACTATCTCTGCGAGAGAAGTTATTGGAGCCACGTTCAATAAACGCAAATACCAATCAATCAACACATTTAAATGTTAATCGGAAAATACATTATACATATAAATTCTTAATACACATGCACAGAGGTTTTCAGAAGTATCTGTTAAGGTTTTCATGACAAAAAATACTGTTTTAATGCCAGAAAAAGCGATTGCGATAAACCCGGAAGTACTTTCCGGGACATTTTAGGAACATTTGCAGAGGATCAAATTATGGATTGAGGTTGAGTTTATGTTTGGGTCACTCACTGGTGATGTTCAGAATTCTTTGTTCAGTTTTCATGCAGTTTGAGAGAGTTCTAGTTTGGAAGTTGCTAGCCTAACTGTTACTGTTAGCCACTGGAAAGCCTTTGGGAACTATTTTATTTTCTGTCATTAAATAAACCTTTCGGCATTCATAAGAGTGGACTGAAGTTCATTGTGTGTGTTCTGTTGGTACAAAGCCGTATAATAAGCGGGATAATGAGGACTCAAACGCCGGAATGCAAAAATAAAGATTTAATAAAATAAAGTCCAAGGTAAACAACAAAGCAACCAAGAACACAGGACAGAACAGACCTTGACAAGACAAGACAATGAAGCAGCAACAAGGGGAGAGAAGCACAGGGTAGCTATAGACACACACAGACACAGGTGAAACACATCAGGGCGGGGCAGACAATCAGGACAGGGGAAAACAGGACAGGAAGTAAAACTGAAATAAAACCAGATAACTAATGTCAAAATAAAACCAAATACAGAAATAAAAATCCACACCATGACAGTAGGCATGTCATTATCGGAAAATAAGGACCAACAGGGCGAATCGGACCCCGACGCTTTTTGTTCATATGATGTGGAGAGCAGTGCCTGTCAGATGGGGCAGGTGAGGCCTCACCTACGATCATGGGAAGAAAAAAGAATAAAAGGGAAATAATAATACTTGGTCACTATATCAAGTGATTTATGTTTTTGTATTATTTTCATGTAACTTTGCCTTATTTCATAAATTTTTACCTTGAAATCGCAGATTTTTGTCATATTTTCTCATATTTGACAGAGTGGTGCGCTGTGAGGCGAGCCTCACTTGGGAGACGTAAATGCCTGTAGTTCACAGAGGCAGGAGCCCGTGCGCTGCTATCGCACTGTTTTCTCTGTTTACCGTGGTTTACAAAGTTCAAACATATTTCCTTTACAATCTACATGTCTACAGTTGAGAGGATGGGTCATAAATTGTGTTTTTGACAACAAATATGGGTCTTAATCGCGCTCAAACCACGGCTTGTAATGTCACCAAATGAGGCCAGCCTCAGGGTACTAAATGTGAGCCCAAAAATCGACTGCATCCAATTTAATCAGGAAGCCCCTTTCTTGTTCTTCTACTGCTCAGGGCAGCTACAGGTTTGGCTAAAATACATGTAACACATTGTAAGAATATTTAAAATTCACTTAGGGTAATTTTATGCTTCCAATGATGATAGGAATTATAAGGAAGAGAGGTGAAGGGTAAGAAAGTTGATATTAGAAATTGGATGCACCCGAGATTTGGCTGCAGCTAGCGAAACATGAGAGGAGTTTACAGAGGAGACACCCGTTTTGCTTTACTTTTTAAAACTCATTGGACTTATTTCTAAAAGGAGGATTACATATCTGCGCTCAAACTATTATCTGGACTTAAACAGGGAACTGGTCTGAACTGAAGTGGTCTGTGCTGTTCATGTTTACAGTGAGGAAAGGCCCATAACACACTGTTAAAAGTGCTTTTTACAAACTCTTGTGTTTGGTATGAGCAAACAATGCGGACATGAAACATATTCTGCTGTAGCCAAACAAATTGTGAATAAGCCACTCTGTAGGTCCTGTTGATTTATATGATATGTGTTTATCTGATTGGGGTGAAGTCAGTGCCTCACCAATCACCAACCTCACCGCACGTCACTGGTGGAGAGTCGGAAAAGGGTCCAAAAGCCTTTATTATTGAATTACATCAAATTGTTTATGGTATTGTTTAGGAAGATTCTTCTTGTCTTCTTAGTAGAATTAAAAGTATTTGGTTCTTCTATACTAGACAATAGTAGATTTGCGATGTTGTTACTACGGGTAACCAAATACTTTTAAGTTTATGTTATCAAATTGAACGTCCTCTGTATGGAGATAAATATTGTATTGACAGCCCCAGAAAGATCTCCTGAGTGAAGCTGTCCTCTGCTTTCTAAGAAAGATACATTACAACAAATTCCCTTAATATATATTGTCTTTGTACTTTTAACAGAAACATTTATTATCCAACGCACAGCAATGTTTGAAGACCTCATGATACTTTTCAAAACAAAAACAAACTAATCTGTGAACTTGCCTCCAGTCGAGTTCAATTCAACGGATTGAGCTGAAAAACTTCTTCTGCCTAATCCCGGTAGTTGCCCATTAAGTGAAACTAAACAGTGTAATCTAATGAGTTGTTTACTGTTACTGCATGTAGTAAACGCTGTTTGGCAGATGCTTGCTCCTCTACCCCCTGCTCCAGAATGCATAAATAAACTATTAGAAAACGGATGCTATAATGAGCGAGGTTTGCTAATGGATCTGCTGGAGTATTTAGCATGTACTTACTCCACTTCAGTCATGACAGATTATTTCTGTGGTCTTGTACTCTGTTCGAAGGTCTTTTCTGTGGGATCGTGGCTGTGGACGCTGTTGCATTGATGTTAGGATTGCAGTTAAAAAAAATCAAATCCTTTCTGAGGTGAAAGTTTGAATCCATGACGCTGCAACAGAATATAATTTATAAAGCTGTAAATGCTTGATCATTGAGGTAAATGTTGACCCTCATAAAACAGGATTTGCCAAAAGGACAAGAAAAAATTTGTTATTTCAAGAACAGGAGATCCTTTCTCTTCATTCCAAGTGAGAATTTGCTTGTCATTTAAAAACGAGAAATGTTTGCTTGTCTCATCGACAAATCTTGTTTTAAGACAGAGAATTGACTCCTTCAGTGGAAGACTGAGGCACCCTCAGTGCAAGAAGGAGCGCTACCGCAGGGCCTTTATCCCCACCACTGTCAGACTGTACAATAAGTCACTAATGACCTGCACTAGGACTAAAGAAACCAACACTGCTATTGCCACTTTTTTATTGTACATAATTATATCCTGCACAGACTATATTTTTTACCTTAACATGTTACACACTTTTTTTTTGCTCAATAAAGTTTATCTTATCTTACATCAGTTTAAGCAATTTTTCACTAGACTGGATTAATGCAGCATTTTTATATTTGAAAAGAACTTCTTTTCAAATACAAATACTGTATATGTTTTTGTATACTTGACCCAGTGGCTGTATTTACTGCCATCATCTCGGGTCTCTCGGGTGCTATAGGACCAACTGTTTGGAAGGTTCTCTGAGCTGAGGGACCCCTGCACCAGAAACTCAAACAGCCACTGGATCACAACACGGTCAAAGGCACCTTTTACATGGATCCTCCTATTTGGAGATTTGTATCTTCTCAAAGGATGATCATGTATAACAGGGGTCTCCAACCTTTTCCTCAAGGACAGCGACTACTGTATATCAGAACGGAATAATGAGCTATTGGTGAAGGAAAGCCGACATGTTGAAGTAAGCAAAGCCTTAAAACAAAAAGTATTTTATTGGACAAGCAACATTAGTCTTTATTAAAGTGTCTCGTTGGAAATGATTGTTTTACGGCTGTTAAAATGTGCTAAACTTAAGATAAAGTTAAAATTTGCAGTCTGGTTGTACAAGGAAAAATAATTCGATTGGGGAGCTACTTAGAAAGGGGTGGTGAGGTCCGGAGCTATAGGTTGGAGACCCCTGATGTACAGTATAGTGACATTATATTAAGTTTATCACCTCCAGAGCTTTATGGACACTTGAATTTGCAGACAGTGATGCACATTGAAAAAACACATGATGAATCTGACCGGCAAAGGCTTCAGAGAGTCCTGCAGTTGTTATATATGTAGATAATTAGGCATGATACACACCATTGTGAATGTGTATGTGTTCTAATTCTTCCGTGTCCAGAAGCTGCTCCTTGAAAAGCTGGTAAAAATCCAAGTCAATGATTTTGCTGTTTATAAATAGGAGCGAGAGTTATTTGTGGCAAAATGGCGATAATATATTATTTACAATCCATAGCTGTCTTGCCGCTGCCACAATCATTACTTTTAGTGTACTTTGAAAATTTAATGGGATGTAAACCAGACTGTTGCCATGCAGAGAACTCCATTTCATAAAAGACATTAGCGTGGTTATTTATGGCTTGTATTTTAAGTGTTAACGCTGGAGTACTTCACTTTTACACCACAACAAAGAACTATTTTTAGAAAATTCATGTAACTCGTTCCTCGCTCTCAAAACAGTTTGGATCCACCACTAGTTTGCATGTATTTTTGGCTTGTATCAGTAAATAGAGGACCACCCTCCCTCAAGATTAGATTCCGTCTGTCCGGGATAAACACAATGTATTTAATTCAATTCAAATTATTCTTATATAGCCCTAAATCACAACAGTAGTTATCTCAGAGGACAAAACTGTTTTTGCCAACACAGATCAGAGACTCAAAAGGTTAAAACACAAGAAAGGCAATGATAAAAAACACATAAAGTCATTGGTTCATAAGAGGCAGATGACCAATGTCCATAAATGTTGTTGAGCGTCCTGGATCACAAGGAAAAACTCAAATAAGAAAAAATGGACAGGCTATTGATCCAGGTCTCAGGCTGTAAAACAAGGGCAGAGGCCACCGTCTACATTCAAAGAAAAGTAGAATTATAATAGTGGACATTATGCAGTTTTGTTGCATGTTACCAAATAAAAATATATCCCAATAATTGAGTTGTAATTGAACAAGGGGGGTGTGTATGGGTTACGTCACGCATAGTAGACAGAGTGGACAGAGATGTGTGCGTGAGGAGCAGCTCTATGAATATTACAACAGCTTTTACAACTTGGATTAAGCCCCCCCTCCCCTCTCTCCTCTCCCCCCTCTCCTTTCCTGTACATCCCGAGCAGTGTGGCGGAGCGTTGTGTCCTGGTTTGACCCTGGTGGAAGAGCACAATTTGGACACATTTGTTTCACTGACACTGGTCCAGGAGGAGAAAATGTCCCGGATTAGAGTACATTGAATTAGCTTTTGGATTTCTCTCAACTCTTACTCCTGTGACACTAAGATTATTATGAAATTAATTTCTGCTACAATTCAGGTTTACAGTTACTACTTACGCTGTGTCTTTTGCTTTCTGCTGCCATGCATTTATGTGCCATCACACATAAATGCAGAGACCAAAGTAAGCCGAGCTAAGTGGAAAACCATACACTGATGCAGGTGGAAGAATCTATGAATCTATGGCACTCTAACATTATTGAGAATTTAACTATTCACACAAAATTATAAAAAATAACAATAGTAATAGTAATAATTCTTTTGTTGGAATAGTTGCTGTGTATGTACTGTATGTGGTTGTGAAAGTATGTTGTTCTGTATGTATGTGTTTGCTTTTGGTGTTTGCAGATTCAGAATCAAAATGTGTGGGTAACAGGAAGCCAGACACTAGAATATTGCTTTGGCTAGTTAAATCATGAGCTCAAACAACTCAAGATCATATTTCTAGGAACCAGAAGGTCTTCCCGCTTTTATGAATTTAATAGTATTTCTGGGAATCATTTTAAGAGCCACCTGAGGAAAAGAAATCCTATCATCACAATCACTACTTCATTCTCCCAAACACAGACTGTCCCAATGCCTTCTGAAGGGAAAACAACACAAACAATAATACTTGCCGTTCTTTTATGCTATTGTTTTCTTATTGCCTCCTAGTTGTGTATTATTATTATTTATTAATATGCAGCTCTACAGGCAGCAGTCCGTAATTCCAACAAACTTACCCTTTCCGACCTTTCAACTTCTTGGATCACATGATTTCATGCTCTGTTTATGTGTTTACTGGGGTTGTGGCACCTCTTTCAGAACATATTCTGAAAGAAGAAATATAAAATAGTTAAGTGTTGATCTGAACACAGAAGTGAACACATTATAATTATCATTATTTGTCATGTAAAACATCAGAGCAGTCATAAGTCAATACAGAGCTGTCCACATGTTATCATTTATTTTAAACTCAGTTTTGTTAAACAACATATTATAAATGTTTGATGCTTAAATAAGCACTATATTAAAACTCAATTCATTTGTTTACAGAATTCTATAGATTTGTATTACTGTGTGTGTGTGTGTGTGTGTGTGTGTGTGTGTCTGTGTGCGCGCATGCTAGCATTATATCTCTTACAATTAAAAGTTGAAGACCTCGTATTCCTTTTAGGTCCAGTTGTTCTATCTGCAGTGTCCAGCCTCTGAGGCCGTTACATAAGCCGCTGATTTTGCTTTGTGTGCATTTGTTCTCTACTATTTTAGGAGCTGTGTTGATACCACGGAGCTTGGAACGTTCTCCCATTGTCATGCTAATATTATTCCTGCCTCTCACAATGAGATTTATACAAGTAAAGAAAGGAAAAGTTTAATGTTGCATTGATGTATTCTCTATTTCTGATGTGTTTCCAGGTTTTCTCCTTTACATCATGCAGCACTCATTGGGAGTGCAGAGGTCATCTCTCTGCTGCTGGAGTGTCAGGCGGCAGTGGACATCAGAGACCAGAAAGGTCAGACCAAAAACAAACATATCTATTCAATAAACTTGTTCTGCATTCATGTCTTTTCTTATTCTTACAACCAATGGATTCAAAAATAAAAAAAACACTCTAAAATCCCCACAAAACTTGACCTTTGAGAAAGCTGTAGATTCAATGACAACTGAGGATGAGCCGTTTTTGTTAACATTGAGGTCTATGGGGACATATCCTGAGAAGTCTTGGTGAATGTAGTCTGTAGTAATGCTGGGGCTCACCACCGTGCTGTGTTGCAGGCATGCGCCCGCTGCACTACGCTGCGTGGCAGGGCCGAGCTGAGCCCATGAAGATGCTGCTTAAAGCTGGTTCTTCTGTGAACGGTCAGTCGGACGAGGGACAGATCCCCTTGCACCTGGCAGCGCAGCACGGACACTACGATGTGGTGAGTGACCCACAGCTACACAACGCCAGATGTGTGTCCAACACTTACTAGTGTTGGAGCTAATTGTACATCACATAAACCTCATTGTACAATCATAAAAATGTGGAATTTAATTTGAAGGATAATCTATTTTTTAGAACAATTAGAACTTTTCATTAGCACAGTTGGTCTGACATTTTCAAAGTAACTAGCTTCACACCATTGTACTGTGTACACAAGTACCAGGCTGAAGCCTGCCAGAATACTTGAAAGCGTGGACTGCATTGTGAGCACAGCTAACCAAACTCTACAGTCTGTGCTCACAGACAAATGGAGCCGGCTGTTGTTTCTCAGGAATAAAAAAGAACTCTGGCATGAATTATTTTGTTCTTCCCGAATCCCAATGTTTGAAGTGATATTGATTTGTTGTGTTTGCTCCTGTGTTCAGTCGGAGATGCTCCTACAGCATCAGTCGAATCCCTGTATCGTGGATAATGCAGGAAAGACTCCCCTGGACTTGGCCTGCGAGTTTGGACGTGTGGGGGTGAGATGTGCTTCTTGTCTCAAGATGTCAAATAAGGAGATGAGTAAAGGTGGGGTGGCGGGTGGAGGAAGGGTGTGATGTCAACAAAAGCACAGGACTGTAGACGGTTGGCTGAGGACAGAGGATGATGGTGGAACTGTTACAGGGAGGAGCTTTTTGGTTCCAGGGTCTGCACATTCTTCTGCTCACTTTGTCTCTGTGTAGGTGGTGCAGCTGTTGTTATCCAGCAACATGTGTGCTGCATTGTTGGAGCCAAAAAAAGGAGACACCACAGACCCCAATGGGACGTCCCCATTGCATCTGGCTGCAAAGAATGGACACATAGACATCATACGGTAGGATGGACGTTGTTACATAAATGTGATTGTGTGTACAAATATCACATCCAGCATAAAGCGGATGTTTGAGATGTTAGTCGAGCTGTTTAGGTTAGACTTCCAAATGTGTTATACACAAATCTTATCCTACCACTGTAGTGGCAGGATACGACAACTAGCTGGGAACAAGTGAGACACATTACTTGTTTACATTAGAAGCACAGTTATGAAACTCAAAGTTTAGGTAGTAAGTAAGTAATCTTTATTTATATAGTGCCTTTCACAGACCAGCGTTGCAAAGCACTTTACAATTTATTTTGTTGTTGTATAAGACTAAATAATGCCTCTAAAGGACAAAAAAAAGTATGGCACAAGATATAAATAGCAGTTAGTTAACGCTAAAGATGAATTAAACAAAACAGATACTCAACTGGTTGCATAGCTTTGAGTAGGTGTTGGAAAGTGTCTATAACATTTGTTGACTTTGACAGACTCCTGATCCAGGCTGGTATCGACATCAACAGACAGACCAAAGCAGGCACTGCCCTGCACGAAGCAGCTCTGTGTGGCAAGACTGATGCAGTGAGACTCCTGCTGGAGGTACAGTGAACTGCACACACCACACTTGGCATCGATCTTATGAATGAATCCTTGTCATGAATGTAAAATAAGACACATTTGTACTGGTGCCATTCTCCATCCTGAGGGGTCTGGAAATCTGTATTCATAACATTGTTAAATGAAAGTGCCGCCTTATAAGAAAGTCACTCTGTTATTTAAATGACCGGCTGAGGATGAGGCTGAGGAGGCCGTGAGTCTGTGCCCCGAGGGACCGGACTCATCTCTTGTTATTCTACATGTGATATTATAGCGGAGCTTGTAGCTATTCTCCCTGAAATGTAATTAGGGAAAGCCTTGACTGCACTGGTCTTTGTTGAATGTGACAATAATTTTATGTGATGAGTGCATGAATAAAATGCAGATTGATTTGTAAGTCAAGGCATGGCAAGTTTATTTGTAAAGCACAGTTGATTGATTGATTGATTGATTTTATCCATTTGAGCATACATTTTACATTCAAGTATCTACAATATTTACATTCCTTAGTTTACATGACCGTTGTACATGTTCCTACAGTGCTTACAGTTTATACAAATATAAACTTGAACATACAATCAAGCAGTATTTACCCTAGTTTCACCATATGTTGCTTAAATACAATTTCAATATGTATTTACAAATGCATTTCTATTTACAAGTTACAGTTCACGGCAACACAAAGAGCTTAAAAGAGCTTAACGAAACAAAAAAAGAATCATGAATAATCTCGGTGCAGTCAAAAGAGTAAAGATAGAGTCGTCTGCACAGCTAAACAGAACCGTTTTTAACCTGGATACGAAGTTTGTCAGAGCAGAAGCCTGTCTCACATTTTGTCATGTAGTTGTGGATGTGTTATTTAATTGCTGAGTGTGCGTCTGTCTAGTGTGGGATCAATGCCACAGTGAGGAACACCTACAGCCAGACGGCCCTGGACATTGTTTACCAGTTCACTGCGACGCAAGCCAGCAGAGAGATCAAGCAGCTGCTGAGAGGTAGGCCTTCCATACAGCGGCTATCTTTGAAACATGGCTGATTTCAGTTAAATGGCCGTTGTTACGTATTGAAAATAAATAATGAATGTGTGTCTTGGTCAGATGCGTCAGCCGCTCTCCAGGTCCGAGCACTCAAGGATTATTGCAACAACTACGACCTGACAAGTCTCAACATCAAAGCAGGAGATGTCATCACGGTAACAACATGCTGATTTATACTGATTCAAACTGATTTATGCTGATTTAACCTGATTTATACTGATTCTAATTGATTTAAACTGAATTATACTAATTTTATACTGATTTAAACTGATTTATACTGAATTATACTGAGTTAAACTGATTTTATACTGAATTAAACTGATTTTATACTGATTCAAACTAATTTATAGTGATTTAAACTGATTTATGTTAAAACTCAGCTGTGTATTTGCAAAGAGGAACTTTATGAGTTATGGACATACATTTTTACTTTGTAACCGTCATTATTTTCCCAAACCAATTACCAGCAGCGTTCATACTTGAGGACTTCCTTTTGAATTGGTGTGTTGGTCCTTAATGACAAACTCGTCTGATTTAGTTCTGTAAAACTATGATGGTGATGGACAAGAAAAGTTTCCTTTAAAAAAACCTTTTTCAAAGCTCTGTCCTTGTGTAGACGAATCATTAGAACTGTTCACCTGTTCAATTATGAATATGATTTTCTTCCATCGGGCATACTTTTAAAAGAAACTGGTAAGGTTATTTTATCGAACAAGGCTGTCCACTGAAGTCGCACTTAAGCCACTCTACTTTCAGAGCAGTGTTTAGTGTCTGTGGGATTGTTGTATTGTTGTATTGTTGTGTAACACATTTACGGAAAGACTAAGATGGTCTTCCCTTTGAACAGATTTTTAGGGCGCGTTCACACTGTTCGGTCTGGTTCACTTTAACTGGACCAAGTGGACCCATGTTCTCTTGTTTGCTATTGTTCCGTCCACAAATGAAGTATCTTTGCCTCAAGTGAACCAGAGTTAGTCCAGTTAAAGTCAATCAGACCAAATGTGAAGGGCCCCTTATCCTCAATGAGACTTTTCTTGGTTGATTATTGGTTTTAGATAGATCAGTACTTTATTGATCCCGGTTGGAGAAGGTGTCCAGCAGCAGAAACGCATCCATCCATACAAACAAATAATTACATAATTCTAAAAGTTACTAACAATAGTAATAAAGTACTACAGCACTTTAGGTCACAGCAGCAGAGGTGGAGCAGGCGCTGGGTGGAGCAGTGCATGGTTTAAGTGCGTTCCTTGACTGTCCTGTTGCAGGTCCCGTCTTTTAATAATTATAATCTAATTTGTTTGAGTTTATCTAAATGAATGTCGCTGTTGTGCCTGGAATTGTCTACACTTTACTTTTACATTGGAAACAAGCATGTGATGTCACAAAGTTACAAGATGTATCTGTGGAGTGGCGAGTATTTTCACTGTAAGGATGTTTTAAACCATTTAATTATGTAACATTTGTACAGGTGTTAGAGCAACACCCAGATGGTCGCTGGAAAGGCTGTATCCATGACAACCGGACCGGAAATGACAGAGTGGGCTACTTCCCGTCCACCATGGTGGAAGTCATCAGCAAGCGTACAGGTGTGTGTGTGTGCGTGTGTAGGTGTGTGTGTGTGTGTGTGTGTGTGTGTGGGCGTGTGTGAGTGTGCGTGAGTAGGTTTGTGAGTGTGTGTGTGTAGGTATGAGTGTGTGTGTGTGTGTGTGCGTGCGTGTGTGTGTGTGTGCGTGTGGAGCTGCCGGTCACAGAAGAACAGCTGGGATAAAGACATGAAGCAGGTCCGAGTTGTGTGGCAAACTCAGTAGATCTGTTGTTGGCCAAACGTGTGTTGCTCTGTGGTAAGCCTGGCAGTCAGCCTTCTCTTCAGTCAGACCTTTCTAATGTCTCCCAGTTGTATGTACTTGTGTTATTTGTACTATCATGTGTCAGTCTTCACTTTTATTTCGTCTTGTCTTCTTTACATAACCACTCATTGAGCACTCTATGTGTATTCTGTGTGTCCCTCCCCAAAACCATCCACACTGCACCACAATCTAATGTGTGTATTTACCAGAAGTACTGACAGTAGCAACATGTTTGTCCATCGAGCATCCTTTTTTTTTTCTTTTTTCAGGACAAAGGGCAGAATATTCAAATGCAGGTGTGCCTGAAAGTTTACACACCCACATTTCAACAAGAAGCTATATTTGTTGAAATTTGTTGTGTGAAGCCTAAAATAATATATATTTTTCCAATTATAAAGGCTAAAGAAACTACTCCTGGCCCTGACTACTCTAAGATAATGATAATAATAGTAATAATGATAACAATAATGATAATATTAATGATAATGATAATGATAATAATAATAATGCATTGGTTTTTTTATAGCGCTTTTTCAGACACTCAAAGACGCTTCACATGTTATTATTCATTCACTCCATACTGTAGCCACAGCTGCCCTGGGGCACACTGTCAGAAGCGAGGCAACCAGTATGTGCCATCGGCCCCTCTGACCACCACCAACCATTCACACGCACACCAGACCCATTCTAGGCAATGTGGGGGAAGTGTCTTGCCTAAGGACACAACAACAGTTCTATATTTCCCCTTTAACATCTCTGACAGCTCGGAGTCCTGTGCGGTAGTTCCGGAAGAGGTTCTTTTATCCTCTCTGATGGTAAAGCTGCCCATTCTTCTTGGCAAAAAGCCACTCGTCCGTGTAAAAACCATCTCCCTAGAGTGTCTCAATGATGTTATGATTGAAAATAGAACCATTAACGTGCGGTGTAAACTTCCAAGCACATTCTTGCTGCAGTACGATCAATGGCATCCCCGGTTTTTGCAGCTGGTTCGGTTCAGTTTAGCGAGCTTCAGTTTCCGCATTCTAACTTTTTATTTTTCACCTCCATCCTGAACGTTTCTGTCTGTGATTTCAGCCTTTATTTTAATTTCTTTTCCCTTTTTTTCTTGTGTGTAACTCTCTGTTGTGTGTGTCGCTGTTGGCTGTGTGTGTCGTCACGGTGGGTGTATCTAGGTTTGGCCAGCACAGTCATTTGCACCCAACAGTTTCAAAAGATACCACTGGTCCCCCCGGCCGACGCGGTAGTCAACGGCAACGACACCACGTTCCATCAGATCCATATCCTGCCTCCACCGCCTCCTCCACCACCACATTCCCATCAGCCACTGCTTCCACTTTTCACTTCCTTTGGCTATAGCAGGTCGCCCGTGACGACCCCACAGGGAGACACACCCACTGCCCCAGGTACACCCCCCCTTTGCATTATTATTACAGTTATATTATTATTATTATTATGGTATTATTAAAGCTTCAAGGGGCGCGTTCTTTGCTCGCCACTACACTCCATAAACGCCATTGGACATGTCAGATTCTGCTTGTGTTGAAGAAGGCGCCCTCTGAAGCTTTCATGCATTTTTATATTTTTGTAATTGTATCTGTTCTTCATTTTTATTCTCTAAGATGTTTCTAGGCATAGAATTATTTTGTATATAATTTACATACAGTGTAGTCAAGTTTAGGCTTCTGACAATATAAATATAGACACATTGATGGAGATAAAGAAATAGATAGATAGAGATGGATAGATCTTAAATAAATGCAACATAGGAGTAAATCCCCCATTAACAGGGTTTATTGAAGCTGACAGCAGCAAATGTATATTATTTTATAAAGTTACAAAAATCTCCCCATTCTTGCAAAAGACAACAAAACTATATTTTAAGCCGCAAGATATACTCTATCATTTATGAAATTTTTGAATAATAAGTCCATTAATTATTGTTCCAGGCCTTTTTTGTTATTGTATCTCGCCTGCTCAGAACAAAAGTATTAAAACGTAAATAATTGTAGGTTATATGCCTGTGTGTGTGCATTACCCATTTTCTCTTGCCGTTGTATGCAATTCCAAGTTTACACAAAATCACAAAATAGGAATTTGCTTTGGCATATGGTGCAAACAAGTAATGAAATATTCAAAAATGTATCATAATACAATTCTAATTTTATAAATGCACACAATCAAATAAGTGTCCATAGTGTCCATGAGATAAGAACATAAGTATATTGTGATTGTAGAGGTAAAGGATTAGCAATAGATAGAGATAATAGTCCCTTAAGAGCTCTTTTGTTTGTTTTCACATTCATTCAATTCTAGCTTTTGTTTTAAATGTGTATTATGTGACTTTTACAGTGGAGAGCATCACCTTTTTTCCTCCATGTAGATGTTATTGCTGCAGTAGTATCTCCATGGACTAAAACAGGTGCCAGTAGAGCCTCCATCAGAAAAGTGACCTAGTGCAATTCTAAGTTTCACAATTATTATTATTATTATTATTTTCGTTTTCTTTCCTTTCCCTTCTCTCCTGTGTGTCGTCACTTGTGTCCCACCTGGATTAACCTGCACTTTACCAGTAACACACACCCACCTTCACTGCACACTGAGTCCTTGTCTGTCCACCTGGTCTCACCTCACCTCCTCCCGCTCCAATCCCACTGTGCTGCATGAAAAGAGTGACGCTAGAGCAAAGTGTGTGGCTGGAAAGACAAATGTGAATGCTTTTTATTGTGGTTATTCTAACTCTTTGGGAGCAGTAAGAGAAAGACCACCTAGAGACCACCAGAAGCAGTACCAGTTATACAGTTGTGCTTACTCACCCAAGACAGAAGTTTCATTGTTTTGGCCATAATTTGGAGATCTTTTACTCATTATTAGTGGTTCAATTCAATTCAATAATTTTTTCATAGTTTATTTAAGGAAAGCCCCCTTGAGATAAATTCATTTTCGCGAGGGTCCTAAAGATAAATACAAACATACAAACATACATAGGCAAGGCAAGGCAAGGCAAGTTTATTTGTATAGCACAATTCATACACAAGGCAACTCAAAGTGCTGAAGAAAACAAGAAAGCATTAAAATCATAAATAATCACAGTACATTAAAAATATAAAATCCCTCAGTTGTATGCACAGCTAAACAGAACTGTCTTTAACCTGGTTTTAAACATTGTCAGAGAGGAGGCCTGTCTCACATCTTCAGGAAGACTGTTCCAGATTTTAGCAGCATGAATCTGAAAAGCAGCCTCCCCATGTTTAGTCCTGACTCTGGGCACTAACAGGAGTCCAGTCCCTGTGCTCCTCAGAGTCCGGGCTGGTTCATATGGGACTAACATGTCACTAATATATTTTGGTGCGAGGCCATGGAGAGACTTGTACACAAGCAGAACTGCTTTAAAGTCTATTCTCTGAGCCACAGGAAGCCAGTGCAGAGACCTGAGGACCGGACTAATGTGGTCGTACTTCCTGATTCTAGTCAGGACTCGAGCTACATACATTCATACAAAATTACAGAGCATTTAGGATAAGAACAAATAATTACATAAATGCACAAACAAATGAATGAATACAAATATTAAAACCGGTAATAAAAAATATTAAAATTAAATGCACCTTCTTATCTAACCTCTGCTAAAATTAAACATTTAGATAGAGACAAAGTAAAAAAAAAAAAAAAAGAATAAAAAAAAGAAAGAAGGAAAAACATGTAAAACTATCCACAACAATTTGGATAATGGATAAATACATACATACGATAATGATCAAGTAGAACATTAGTGACATAAGCAAAGGCATAAGAGTTTTAAGGAACCTAAATAATTCAAACTTAAATGCCCCAAAAGACATCATTGATCATTTGTTATATCACAATGTACATCATAAAAAAGCAGACTTTTTATTTTCTGACTGAGTGCAGCCTCTGCATATTGCCTATTTAACATGTTTTCTATTTTAAAATTATAATATAGCTGGGCCAATTTAGGGAGATCTCAAATGTGCAGGAATTTAAATTTTTGCTAAGTAGAATGTGGAGTTTGCATATTCTTCCTGTGTCTGTGTGGGCCTCCTCCGGGTGCTGCGGTTTGTCTTTCCACTAAAAAGACGTACAGTAGGTCCAGCATGCACCTCCTGTATGGCAGCCCCGGCTTTGAGTGAGGAAAAATGCCCGCAACAATTGTAAAGTGCTTTATTGTGATTATATAAATGATGATTCATTGTTAAAGGGGAAATACATGCTGTTGAGAACGGGGGAATGGAAACTTCTATTTTGGGTCATAAAAGCAGATTGTGTTGTCGTTATCATTTAAAAATAGAAAACAATAAATGGCTGCACACAACCATGAACAATGAGCGAAAAAAGTTTGAATTATACGGCATAATCTTTGACGTTTCTGCTTGGGTGCGTACACTCAAACACAAATGCGTCTATGGTACGAAACTTTCAACTTGCCCTGGATGCCATTTTGATGCGTTGGACTTCTGTGCTCTCAACACTCATATTATTTTTGAATAGAAGAAAAATGCGTAGGTCACATTGAAATATTTGAAGAGCATACAATGGATACGATTTCTGTGGGTGTGACGCATGATTGATTTGGGTTTTGCAGCTAAAGATTGTGACTCATTGCTGAAGGTTGTTTTCTGAAGCACTTTTGTTGATCACACAGATAAACCATTGATAAGTGGTTTACAATGGTTTATGACTCTCTCCAAATGCACTACAGCAGCACCATTCTGAACGGCCCGCATATATAAGCACACACTCTGGCTGCATTATATATGTATGTGTATCTACATTGTACTATTCAAGTGTATATACACAAATAACCATGTCCTGGATTGGTTTATTACTCTATGAATGTTTTATATGGATATATCTGTATATCTATATATGCTGTTTTTTTATCTGTGTATGTATGTGTGCTGCTGTGTGAAATGAAAGCAGATTTGAACTGACCCTAAAACATCCCGAACTCGTCCTCTTATCCTCTTACCGTAGGGCAAAAATCGACTCGCCCCCTTTTTTTTCCCACGGACGTAAACCCCAGCTTCTTTTTTGTCGAACCACTGGCACTGCCACAGAAGAGTATGAAAGCAAAGACTGAGATCATGAATTTCCCTAAGATATAAGAAATTGAGACAGAAGTTGAGGGACGTCACGATAAAAGCAAAAGAAAGTGGGGACACAGCAGAGTCCAGTAGTGTATGTGGAAAACTGCTCTCAAACGATGACAGCTGAATCCATAAATTGAGAATACATTGAAAACTTTTTATAATCGCACACACACGTAGCTGGATGAGCGTTCTTTTCAGCAGAGGTGCAGTGTGAGCCTCCCCTACCCAGCCTATAGGGACCATCGGCTGCTAACCGTGGTGTTCTGTGTTGAAGGTTGTCGCGGCTCAGAGGCCAGTCCTCACAGCTCTCCCACCCCATCCAGCGGGCCCCATGGAGGCTCCAACGAGGAGATCTGGGTACTGCGCAAGCCCGCGGCAGGTAACCGAGCCCGGGACCCCCCCAGCCAGCCTCAAACAGTGTCTGCCAAAGCTCTCGTGTTTTTTCCTCAGACTCTCTCCCAGCTCTTTGGCTTTAACACAAACCGAGTCGCTGGGAGGCTTTCAGATACTATTTGATCCTGGCGCCTTCGGTATAGTCTGCCATATCTTTTCTCCATTCAAAACAGAGGAATCCAATAGCCCTATGTGTAGGACTCCAGCAGCCATTCGCATCGGTCTTAGTCTTGTCTCTCCAAATGGATGATTGAAAATGTTATGTATGAGCAAAATGCAAAGTGAAAGACGACCCAAAACCAAAACAGGAGAGCGAGAGATGTGTGCGAAAAGTGTGTCTTGTGGAATACACTAGTCAACCATGTCATCCATCACCCCTGTCTGCTACACGCCTGGCCTTTGTCCGACACGTCCATTTGTGTCCACACGCTGCCCAGTGCATTTCAGTGGAGAGTCACAGCACTGTTCTCTTGGTCGATCTTTGCTGAACTGAATGTGTGTCCGTGTGCCCGGCCTGTTTGTCAATGGCCTGGACGGCTCCTGTTGCAGGTGGCGACCGCAGTAGTCTGGGCAGTTCCAGCAGCGTGGCCAGCGTCAGGTCGTCGGGCAGCGGGCAGAGTGCGGGCAGCGCTCCGCACGTCCTCCACGCTCAGGCGGAAGGGGTCAAGGTATATCACCCTCCAGGGCTTTTGGGATTTGTTGATGAATATTGATAATTTGGATTTTCAATCAACTTTTGCTTGCAGAGCGCCTTTCCTACACAAAGCACCTGACACTCCATTACACATCAAGCATAAATCATAAATCATAAACATTAAAATCTACATAAACATTAAAAAATATCATCTAAAAATATGATTAAATGAGATCACAAGAAATATTAAAAACATGCATATAGCAGTGCAAGTTTGCAATCCTATATATACAGTACACGCTTCTAAAATCAGTCTTCAATAAATGTAGTATAAATGCAGAAGCAATGTATTTTTGTTCAAGCAGGGCAAAGTATTAGATAGGGAGCCAAAAGCCTGTATTTATAACTGAATTGTAATCACACGGAAATATATCACATAGAGTCGTATTGAATTATAAGTGTGAAAAATGTGTTGTTTTGGCAAAGTGTAAAAGATCCCCAGTCCTGTCTGGGAACCTGTGACTCTGAGAAGAGGACGAGCCCACAGTGACTTCCTCACATTTACAGACTACAAAACTGTTGCTTTAATATGTCACCAGCTCTATCAGAAGAACAAAGTTAACGCTTTACACATAAGAATCATAGCCTGGATTGAAATGACGATACTTCGTAATGTGAAAAAAATGAAGAGGCCCACTAAACTGTTCACCAATATCACTTCATCTTTTAATGTAATGTATTTATTTATTTATAGTACCGGATTGTGTTTTAAATCTGTGTTTGTTTGCAGCTCTTGGCCACAGTGCTGTCGCAGTCGACCAAAGCCAAGGAACACTTAATGGAGCAGTCCAAGTCCGTGGAGCAGACAGGTACAAAACATATTGCAAAAAGTTACGAAGGGATTTCACCTTGGAGAGACCCATGAGGAAAATGCCGTTAGACTTATTAGATTTAAGCATGTTTATTGATTGAGCATGTTTGGCGCCCTAGGCCCGGGAGGGATGTTGTTGAGCACGGCGCTTGCTCGCGTGCATAATCCCCCCCGGGGCCTAGGCACTGGTGACGGCAGAGGCAGTAGGCAAGCACGCTTCGATGAGAGAAGGAGGAGGTGGGGCGGCGGAGGCTTGCAGACTTCAGAAGGCCGGGAAGTGGGCGTCTCCGGCTTTTAACTTGCTGTCCTGGTGGTTATTGGTTGACTGGATGTGGGCGTTGCTGGTATTGATGAGTCGAGGAAGAGCAGCCTGTGGCCTGGGCAGCAGCAGCCGGGTCTACCACAGTGAACTTTCGCGAAAGCTCCATTTCACCTTGGAGAGACCCATGAGGAAAATGCCGTTAGACTTATTAGATTTAAGCATGTTTATTGATTGAGCATGTTTGGCGCCCTAGGCCCGGGAGGGATGCTGTTGAGCACGGCGCTTGCTCGCGTGCATAATCCCCAAAAAGCGGGCCTGCGATTGGGATAGCAGGACGTACTGCGCGGGCCTGAGAGCATGAGTGAGAGGCTTCTCGCACAGTCGCTCAGCCGGCTGCGTCCGCTGGGGCCCGTGTTTGTTTAGGCAGAGTGAGCTGTGAATATGAGCGCACGCTCATATTCAGCCAGACGCTGAAGCAGAGGAATCTTTGAGCGAGCTGAGAACATGCGCGCACGTTCAGCCAGACGCTGCAGCAGAGGAATCTTTGAGCGAGCTGTGAATATGAGATGCATGCTCATATTCGCCAGACGCTGAAGCAGAGGAATCTTTAAGCGAGCTGAGAACATGCGCGCACGCGCATGTTCAGCCAGACGCTGAAGCAGAGGAATCTTTGAGCGTTTGAGGAAAGTGCGTGCCGCCACCAGAATCTTATTGCTTACTTGCTTTGCTGGGAGCTTACGAGGAAGCCGGTAGACGTTGTGCTGCCATGATAGCGGTCGCATCTGGCCTGATGTAGGTGGAGAAAGCCGAAGAGGACCAGCGCCCCAGCTGTTGCAGAGAAGAGTGGGGGAGCCCCAGCGAGGTCGCGCGCGTGGCAGCGCCTATCCTGTGGCAGGGCCTATCCTGAAGGAGTGGGCTGTATAGAGCTGGGGAGACAAATTGCAGAGGAGCAGTAGGGATCTTAGCTGAGCTCTGAACCAGGTTGCTGTTATGGGAAGGTTGACTGGAGTGAGAATTAGAGGTCCGTTAAAATCTCCTTTTTGCCGCGGAGGCGAGTGTAACGCATCATGGACCTGTAGGGGCAGAGAGATGTGTCGAAGCGAGCTATTATTGTGTTGCAGGCGCCTCTGATCTTTGAATGTTTGAGATGAAGGTTGAAATGGTCAGGGGACATTATGTTGAGTGAGAAGAGCGACCTTTGTTTAATGCTTCCACTACGTCGAGATGATCACGCATGACAGAGATCCTCTTTCTCTGCCACGTGTGATTCCGCAGCGCGCAGGCCACGACCACTGGGAATGTCTCGTGTAGGGCAGAGGAAATTCTCCGGGGAAAAGTAGCGGGCCACGGCCCGGCGAACCACTGGTCCTGGAAGAACCCCCCAAAACCCACGGAAGGGGCAGCGTCCGTGTAGAAGCGGAGACCTGTAGGGGCAGAGAGACACACCGGAGAGGGCCATTGATGTTGCAGGCGCCCCTGCGCTTAGAATCTTGGGTTGGAGAGTAGATAATCAGGACAGTAGGATGGTCGGGAAAGCCGTGTCTCGGACCGCATTGAAGGTTGAGTGAGCAATGGTGAAACGCTTATGCAGAGAAGCCACGGAAGGAGAGCAGGAAGATGCTGCGAGGAGGGCAGACATGTACTTGGAAGATGAGCCGGAGTTCAGTGCCGCTCAGAGCCGCTGCAGGATGGGCAGCGTGATGGGGAGCCTGCGATCAGAAGAGTGAAGAATACAGGTATGGATGCCTTTGATTAGGAGTTTGATTGACGCTCAGCGCAGCAACTCGGCCGGCTGCATCTGATAGAATCAGAAGATTAAGTAGAGAGATGAAGCACGACCGCCGAAGCGACCCTGGGAGCATAGGTGCGAGTCCAGCGCAGCGCGGCATACTCAGCCGGGCTGCATCCATTAGAGCAGGTTAAGCTTCTGAGAGAGTGGGTTGCAGCTTTTTATTTATTTATTTTTATTTTTTTTTTCGGCAGTAGCAGTAACCTCAGATAATAACAGCAATAGTCCTGTATCAAGCCGCGGCAGCAGCAGTAGCAGCAGCAGCAGCATCCTTAGAAAATAACAGTAATAACCCTGTATCAAGCCACAGCAGTAGAATGTTGTTGTAGCTGTTCAGTGTTTCAGTAAAGAGATTTAAGTGAAGAGAGATGTCAAAGTAAATGAAGCAGCAGCAGCAGTAGCAGCATCTGTAGATAATAACAGCAATAATCCTGTATCAAAGCCGCAGCAGTAGAAATTGTCGTAGCTGTTTAGTGTTTCAGTAAAAGAGATGCGAAGTGAAGAGAGATGTCAAAGTACATGAAGCAGCAGCAGCACGGCAGCAGTAGCAGTATGAAGCAGCAGAAGCAGCATTAGCAGGAGCAGCAGCACCACAATGCGATTCATGCGTGCCCCGCTTGTCTCCGTGAGCCAGGTTACATACGTGTCTGAAGAGCCGAGCCGTAGAGACAGGTGCAGCCTAGGAGCCAGCGGAGCGGCAGTGGCAGGAACAGCAGCAGCGGCACAAGCAGTAGTAGGAGCAGCAGGAGCGGCAGCAGGAACAGGCAGCAGCAGGAGCGGCAGTGGGAACAGGCATCAGCGGGATCAGGCATCAGTAGGAACGGCAGCAGGGACCGGCAGCAGCGGCGGTCAGAGAACCATGCCCATGGTTGTTGAACAGCCTGAGGAAATAATCAACCCGAATCCGAAACATTCCCATGCGAATAACAGATGTCCCCCGGAGCCATCTTCTGCTTTGGTTATGGCAGAGACGCATGAACGATCACTTTTCCACGCGTTCATTAGCTCCAACACCAATTCACACCCATTGCAGATCACATTGGCCCTTTTTCTTTCTGCTGCACTTTCAAAATGCAACAACTGCAGTTCAGTTACCAATTTAATACTAGTGACCTAGCTCTTTAAATGCATGGCCCCTCTTTCCTCCCGCAGATAGACGGATTTAAATACAATCATTTAACAATAGTGACCTGCGAGTAATGAGATTAATGCCGTAAAGATGGCGCCGTGGCAAGAGCTCTGGTGTGTGCCGTCTGGAGCACGATGGGTAGTCCTTGCACATGTTTTCCAACGTGGTTTTACTGCAAGTGGCAGAACATGAATCTGAATTAATGCACACTGCTCCTTTTAGATCCCTCAGACAATAGAGATTTGATGCCATTTAAGATGCATTGCCCCTCAGTTAGCTCAAACACGTGTGAAAACGGAGCCTGCAGACCAAGCACGGGGCGAAAACTGGCGCCTGTGGTCAAGTGCGCAGGGCAAAACCAGCCGCTTGCAGCCTAGACTCCGGGATTAATCCGTCCGCGGTCGGCACACTCACTGTACTCACATGCCAGGAGACGTGGGAAAAGCAACGGGACAACGCGGCACCGCCAGTCGGAGGCAGGGACACGCACGGCACCGCCAGACCGTCTGCGCGCGGCAGCAGACCACGAGGAAGGAGCAGCACAGAACCCGCGGAGGGGGCCCCGCGGAGCAGCCCGCAGAAAGAGCCCGCAGAGGAGAGCAGTGGAGACACGCGAACCACAGCAGGTGCAGGGACACGGAAGAGGAGCAGACCACGAGCAGCCAGACTGAGGACAGCCGGGCCACGCGCACGAGCAACACGTGAGCAGAAGCGACCCCTCCAGAACAACGCATGCATTTGCGAACAGAGCGTTAGCGACATGCACCTTGCAGACTTCAGAAGCTTGCAGACTTCAGAAGGCCGGGAAGTGGGAGTCTCCGGCTTTTAACTTGCTGTCCTGGTGGTTATTGGTTGACTGGATGTGGGCGTTGCTGGTATTGATGAGTCGAGGAAGAGCAGTCTGTGGCCTGGGCAGCAGCAGCCGGGTCTACCACAGTGAACTTTCGCGAAAGCTCCATTTGAACGGAATTATCAGAAGGTTCCATGATGGGACAATGGTCCGTCTGGAAGCAGGGATTTTCAAGAAATATTTTTCTTCTAAATCCAAGTCAGTATGGGAGGGAGAAAGGGGTGTGTGTGTGGGTTTGTGCGTATGTATGTGTGTGTTTGTAGCCTAGAGTCATCAGTATGGAAGATAGCAGAAACACCCCCAAAATAAACCTCAAAACAATTTGACAATGAGACACATAACTTTTTAAAGAAATAGACAGAAAATTAATAATCTTTCCAGTGAACCTTAGGAACGGGACAAGGAGAAAATTATTACATTTTGGAGCTGGATTTTTTTTCCCCTATAAATGGAACTGTGACTTTTGGTCAAAGTCTGTGCTCCACGAGTGCTTTTCTTGTTTTTCTTGTATTTAATGTGGATCATATTAGGAGCCTAATGTAGAATCATTCTTGGCAGAGCTCAATGCCATTGTTTTGTTTTCAGACTCTTAGACCACGTCAGAACGACTCTAAAACAAGTATTTGAAATTGGGTTTGCTTTTAGCGAAGTTTTTGAAAATAGGAAATGTGTCTTGAACATGGATTACACAAAACACAATACACCTCTTCCATTCACAACAATAAAAGCAGTCATATAAAACCAAGTGGTAACATAAAAGAGCCCAACTGGGAATTATGTAGGACAGTTAGTCTCCCTACGGGGAAAACAAACTCTACGTGACTTTACTTTTATTTCAGCAGCGATTACTTTGTGTAGATTATACAATATGTGGTTATTTTATATAAGTGTAAATTAATATCAACATCTCTTTGTATTGTTTGAAATCCTATTCATGAAAGTTTTTCTTCCGGTTTTATGCAGCATTTATCCTGGACCTTTATCCCGTCAAAAAAGTTGATATGTTGTTTTGAAATTGTGGAAGCTCGGATACCCAACTTTCAAAACCACAAACACTCTTAAAAATGCAATAAGATCCATGTCACTCGCTCTCAAACAGATTGGTTCCATCTCTAGTTTTCATTTGCATGCAGCTTTTGCCGATTTTTCAGACACAAAAGTTTAAAAAGGAGTTGACCCTTCTTTCTCAGCTAATTACAATTGTTGCCTTACCTGCATGTGTAAGCCAGATCCTGTCAGACCTCTGAAAATATGTACAATAGGTCTGGCATGCGCCTCCTGTTCGGCGACCCCGCTCCCATCTCTGTGTGGAGTGAGAGACAAATGCCCAAAAAATAACAATTGTAAACCGCTTTGTGACTCTGATCTGTGAAAGGCGGTATATAAATAAAGATTACTTACTTACTTACTCTGAAGCTAGGCAGGACAGGGTCTGGTTAGTGCTGTGATGGAGACCTCTGGGAACACCAGGCCACAGCGGGGCGGCTGCGGCTGTAAAGTGCCAAACTGTTGCTTTGTCCTTTGGCAAGGCATTTCACTCCCATTGCCTAGAATGGGTGTGATGTGTGTGAATGGTTGGTGGTGGTGGGAGGGGTCGATGGCACATACTGGTTGCCTCGCTTCTGTCAGTGTGCCCCAGGGCAGCTGTGGCTCCATTAGTAGTTTATTACCACCGTGTATGGAGTGAAAGAATAATGACATGTGAAACATCTTTGAGTGTGCAAAAAAGCGCTATATAAAACCAATGCAAGACAATAAAAAATATGCTAATTTATCTATACCCCCAACTTGTATTGCTATTTGACCATTGACTGTTTTAACGGGTTGATTTTCTAATCTGCCATTGGAAAATCAACAATATCGTTCAGTACTCCAAAATGGCTTCAAGTTGCGAGATTGTTATTCTGGGTTGTACAGAAATAAAGTTATTTGCTACAGCTGCAATTCTAATTTCCCCACATCAACAGCACATGAGCGGCTGTGGTTGTATGATCAAAAAGAGCAGTCGTGATTTTCAAATGACCACACGTGACTTCTGCTCCACACACATCCACGCTCTGACCGGCCTGGACTGGACGCAACCGACAGATGGTCAATACCGGCTGCGGGGTTTGCCAAAGTGTCCAGAGCAAGAATCCGATTGGTCCTTGGAGAATATGATATCTAAATAAGCCATCCAATGCGTCTGTTTATGTTTATCGAGAAAGCCTGGCTACTGAACTTATCCAATGGTGTGTGTTCTCGCAGGCTCGGCCCCTTCCTCGCGGACGTCGAGCCAATCGAGCTGCCCGCTCCACGAAGCGCCTCCCTACGACTCCGTGCCCACTCGGAAGGCAGAGGGAGCCGGGGAGGGGAAGGTAGGACAGTCCCATAACAACACAGATTTTGCATAGAGTACAGTCCGCTCACTTTTAGCTAAATGCACTGGGAAAAAATGTACTTCCTCATTCACCACACATAATTAAACCGAACCGAACATATAGCAACATGTCCCAGCGCTTCCTCTCGCAACTGGCCGCCTCAGTCCTGCGAGTTTTTGGATGCAGCCATGACCCGGTGAGTGTGTGTGAATGGACGAGCTCCAATTTGAACGAATGCAAAGCAAATACTCTTCCTTCTCTCTTGCTTCTCTTCATCCGAATCTTTTAAGTTGCAGCTTCTTCCGTTCATCGCGGTTTCTTTTTTTCTTTTGCAAAGCTATAATTAGCAGGTAGAGTCAACTCAGGCAAGCAGTGCAGATATTGGCGATGGATGAAGGTGCCAGCAGTGTGGTGGGAGTGGGAGGTAGTTTAGCTAACATCACGTACAGTAGAGGCATCGTTTGTGCGGTTCCTATGTGTGGGACATTTAAGTTCACTTTGTCTCATTTGAAAACCAGGGAAGCATATTTCAGCAGCGTGTATGCAGTCACGCCTGTGTGCCGTGGCGAGGGGTGTCATAGAGCCCATATTCACACTGCCATCTGGACGTCCTCATAACAGCATCTGAAGAGGCTCCGGCCACTGCTATCAGTCTCTCGTTTGTACAGAATGTCTGATTTTTTGTTCTACAGACTTTTCTCATTTACAGAAGGATAACACACAATTATTTTGTTTTTCTTGGATAATGTCCGAGGATTTTTTCTTCTTTTTTTGTTGAAGACATTTTAATACTATTACTAGAATAGCAGTAAAATGCACAACCTGTTTTGTGAAAAAACCTTCACAAAAATATTACTAACAAGAAATGTTTCTCATCATTGCTCAAAAATGGTAAAACAGACATAAGGATTCAATTAATTGGTGAAAAATGAACTACTAAAAATGCAAAGGAAAATCCATGTTTCCGCTTGGTGCCAACACTGAAGACTGATTTAACAATGAAGGAGTTTTAAATATTTAAAATATGATATTTTAAGGCATTCTCAAATACATAAAGGTATATGCAGTTAAAGTTGTAGATTACTCAGTTAGACTGAGGTAATAATCAATAGAAATTTCAAATGATTGTAATAATTTGTCAATAATACACTGCCTTTAGCTGGGACAGATGTATGTCCGGACTGTGGTGTATTTCTGTCTACATTCTGTGTAACACTGTGTTGTGTCGCTCACTAAAGTTAAGTCCATTCAGAGCTGGAGCTATGGTGCATTCGTTTCTATATATGCTCTTCTAGATGTTTAATAAATTATCCTTTAAATAATTAATATTATTTATTTCTGTTTCTAAATATTTATTGACAAAGTTCAAATAAAACTAGGTGAAATAGTAGCCAAACCAACATAAACCACATTCATCTTAAATCCAGCTGGACTGGAGCTGTGTGACGTGCAGCCAAAGCCTGGGATGTGTGTAAGTGGGAGCAGTGGCCCAGTGACTGCATGCCCCTGTCTTCTCTCCGTAGAGCTCAGAGGCTGTTGTCCAGTGGCTGAACGACTGTCAGCTGCAGGTCTACGCTCCAAACTTCCTGAGCGCGGGTTATGACCTGCCCACCATTAGCCGAATGACCCCCGAGGTAAGGCTCCACACCCTGCCCCAAGACCCCGAGAGCCCAAGAGCCAAAGAGCAGAGAGCGGCCTCTGCCAAGGACCACAATGGGACTGCAGCCAGCCTCACTTTGTGCTGTCCTTGAAATTTCACACGCATGCATGAAACAGCCTTTAAACTTAAGGAGCACTTAACCAACGGTGCACATAACAACTCTAGTTATTTACATCATTTCATTTAACAGCAAATTTGACCACAAACCATTGCTGCTCCGTGATATTTGAATATGCTATCTTTTAACATGATTAAAATAAGGATACTCATACATGCAAAACTGTACTTGTGGAGTTTGTTTATTGCCATGTTTAAATAAACTAGCGTTGTTACTGTTGTATAGAAATAACCATGTAAGATAATACCTTTAAGCCCTGTGTGGCAACCACTGTTGTGATATTAGGTCATAGACAAAAGTATTATGAATTAATAATACAAAAATCTAAAACAAAAATCCTCATAAACCAGGCTTACTTATCAAACATTCCCTCAATGCACCTCTCCTCACAACACTCCTGCTGCCTAAAGAATCAGCTCAGTGCCACATTCACCTCCATACAAATAATTTATGATCTATAAATTATTTGTACAAATATCTGCGCCGCGGTCACAGCTGTGCATGCGGAAAGTGCTGAAACAATGTTGCTAATGACAGAGTACAGCACTGAAGTGTACATTACTCAATAATTTCATTTTGTTTGGAAAATGAATTAAAGTTCATCTAGATTAGACGTATAGATTTTTTAAGAAGTTAGACAATGAGTTTTTTTCACTTGAGACATTTGCTTTTGCATTACTTATAAGTTTGGCACATTTTCCACTCTTTTGCTGTTGACTGGCAGAGCCTCCATCAAAAGCCTTTGTTCCTCTGCTGAGTGCGTGTTTGAAAGCCTGAATGCCATTTGAACGCTCACAAAGTCGTGCATACTTGTACTGAGGTGAACGTCTGTGTGTAGGACCTGACGGCCATCGGAATCACAAAACCCGGCCACAGAAAGAAAATCAGTTCTGAGATTAACAAGATCAGCGTCACAGAGTGGTTGCCAGAGCACAAACCAGTAAGTTGTTGATATAGTACGTTGTCTTCAGTCTCATGTTGTCTCTGTTGCTATATGAGACAATCTTTCCCACGCCTCAGGATAATCTCGCCGAGTGGCTGAACGCTATTGGTTTAAGTCAGTACCATCAAGTTCTGGTGCAAAACGGATACGAGAACATCGACTTTATCACAGACATCACATGGGAGGACTTACAGGAAATTGGAATCACAAAACTTGGTAAGATTTATACATTTTAGCGCAACAATAATGTGTGTCTTTGCATGTATGTTACTAATATTGTGTTGAATGTGCATGTTTTAGGGCACCAGAAGAAGCTGATGCTGGCAGTGAAGCGCTTAGCTGAGATGCAGAGAGGGACAGATGGACGCGGCTCCATGAGAAAGAAACCTCCACCAATCACAATGCAGCAGGAAGTGACTTCTATGGACAGTCCGCCCCCAGACGGTGAGTCGGTCACCTCGAGGCACCTGGACATCAGAGGAAAATGAGGCCATGGGGTCTGCTTCCTGGTCTTGCAGGAATGAGGGGATCTTGGAATAATAATCAGTGACTACTGTATGTACAGAGGAGGCTTCTCTGCTTGTTGCAAGAAAAGCAGTTTCAATGGTAAATAGTCTGTACTTAGATAGACTAAAATATGCAACTTCTGCAACTCTAGTCAAGGAAGCAGACAATATGTATTCTCAATTTTTATGAACTCAAAGAACATAATTAGAAGGAAAACCCACAGTCACACACACACACACACACACACACACACACACACACACACACACACACACACACACACACACGTGCATGTACTCTATGTCTAACACATCTATGTTTCAACACAGCCAAAAAGACCAATCTCAAGCCACCAAAAATAGTTATGTAAGAAATCCAAGTTCCAAACAAGTTCCTCGCTCAACAAACAGTTGGTTTCTATCACTCGTTTTTACATGGATGTATTTTTGGGATCTGTCACATCTTTAGATCAGCTTTTCCAGACAGAGAAGTAAAAATAAAGGACCACCCTCACTCAGACAATCAAATGACAATCATAAAGTGTCAAATGTTACTTGCAGGGTTCTTTCTTAAAAGTCTGCAAAATGTGTTTTCTAATGAGAGGAAGACAGCATGTTGTGGTCTGTTTTGTTTCACAGAATTTTACTTTCTGTTGAAACAAACTAAATGTATTATTAATTATGAAAAAGTGTGAGGTACCCCAACTTTAAACGTTATTCAAATGAAATGAAAAAGTGTTTTGTTTTTCCTCAGAGCTGATGTCACCTAAGATGAGCACCTTCCAGGACAGTGAGCTGAGCACAGAGCTGCAGAACGCCATGGGCCATCCCGCCCCAGAGGCCAAAGCCCAGCGAGCGCGCACCCTGAGCCGTGACCACGAGGAGGCGGTGAACCACACGGGACCCCCCAAGAAAGAGGCGCGCACCATGAGGCAACAGAGCAGCACCTCGTCCTCCCACCGGGGCAGCGCGTCGTCCCAGGGCAAACACCGACACTCCCACTCCCAGCCCGCCCCACCATATACCCCGCCACACACTCCCACCAAGACCAGGACCTCCTCTTCCTCCTCCAGCTCCTCAGTGCAGGGTACGGCGCCCCCGCAGGCTAAACCCAGAACTTCTCCTCAGCTCAGCCAGGGGGAGAGACCTCAGTCCCCACGAACACAGCCGCCACAGTCCCCCACTTACCGAGCCCCCTGCAGCCCACAGACGCAAGCCCAGGAGAACGCACAAGTCCCACTCCTGTGTCTGCCCCCGGAGCCGGACACGGTGGAGGAGGAGAGCGAGGAGGCTCTTCAGATGAGACGCACACGCAGTTTGCAACGCCACGCTGTTTCCGACAGTGAGTGCGATGACACCATAGTCCAGAATTCCACGGCGGTAAGAACAGAAGGAATTAAATACGCCACAGTGACTCACCGCGTCAGCCGCAGCCACTCAGCTCGCAACCAGGACAAGACCCTCAACCACATCAAAACTCAGTCCATCGCCCTGCGGCAGAAGAAGAAGGGCCCGCCACCGCCGCCTCCCAAACGCTCCAGTTCAGCCATCTCCACCTCCAATTCTAACTTGTGTGAGGCCACCACACCGCAGCCCACCCACAGCACCACAGGGGGCATGCTGGATGTGCCCTACCACCAGCAGCGGCGGGCCAGTGATCTGGGCGTGTCTGTGGAGAGCGGGGCAGTGATCGAGACCACCAGTGTGGGCAGCGTGAGGAGCATCGCCGCCATGTTGGAGATGTCGTCCATCGGGGGCGGAGCTAAAGGGATGGCGCTGCAGAAGAATTTCCTGCAGGTATGGTTCACGTTTTACAAAGTGATGTGTTTGTGCATTTAGACATAGTTGAAGGAAGTCACAATCTGACAGACCAAGGGCCTCATTTATAAAACACTCGTACTTAAAGAAATTTTACATATGTCGCATTTCATGTTAAAGGGGAAGTACATAATATGCTCTAGTGGTTAAATTAAGTTATTACAATTACAATTTAGCAGAAGCATCACCATACACATTAGCTTGAAATGATGTGTTATTACGTAAAAAAACAAAAAAAAACAGGTAAATTTCACCTAACAAACTGACAACCCAAATGGGATCATTGTGGGCTCTAGTTGGATAATGAGTCTGAAAATCATTAATAAATATTATGAACAACAGGTCCATTGTATTCTAATCAAGAATAACTCCACTCTAAACAGAAAAGATTGAATATGATTTTTACATGTGACCTGTTATCGCGGGACACATATAAAAGATGTAGATGTAATTTTAGATGAAAATATTTTGTATTTTGGGGCAACTTTATTTAGAAATAACTGACTTGGTCAAAAAACTCAAATGTTTTTGTGCTGGAGCTTTTGGAGAGTGTGATTTGTCTAAAACAAAAACACAAAAATGGAGTTCATTTTTGGTCTTACTTAGATTCCTGTAAAAACTCTACGTCAACTTTTATAGAGAAGGCTCCAGAACTGCTCTCCATATTTGAATGATGTAACATCTCGGCTGTGGCAGAGCAGAGCAGTGTGTTCCAGAGGACATCACTAACATCACTGTCTGTGTTCCTCAGGTGGGAAAAACTCGTGAAACAGTGGGTCTGGATGGGGAGGTGATAAACAGGCGGAGGACCATCAGCGGCCCGGTCACCGCGGAGCTCGTGGCTGCGGCCATGAGAGAGCAGCCTCTGACGGCCTTCACCCCTAACGCTGTCCCCAAAGCGCCCTCTCCAAACCCGCCGGCCTCCCCTCAGCCCCCCTCCTCCCCTCACCCTGGCTCTGCTGGCAGCGGCAGTGGCAGCTCGTCTGAAAACCTCCCGTTTGCTAAAGAGGGGAGTCTGACCATCCGACGACAGGGGCGCGGTGAAGAAGAAGGACAGGTAAATATTGATAATTGATACTACTACTACTACTACTACTCTCTCTCTACCTGACAACTGTCTGTCTGACGATATATTGATGCAGCATGTCACAATATATCGAGTCTGTTTAGCATGTTTAACCCATGATGATAGTGAGCTGGCCTTGTCTCCTCTGTGAGGCTGCACGTCCACTCTTACTATTAAACAATATTAACAATCTGTGATAATGATTGATTTGTGGGCCAATTTTCAGATAAATTAAATATAGTTTTTTGCGCTGAGCTGACCAGAAAAATTACCTTGAGCCCACTGCACAATGCATAATGTGATTGCACCCTCAGCTAGATAAAAGTGACAAAGTATACAGTGATAAATGCTAGAATTAAGTTTTTTTTTTTTAAACAATATTAATTTAAGTATATTTCGAGTTTGTTAAAACATGATTTGCTAATTGAACACACCATTTAGTCGCATTCCAAGGGAGACATTTATTTTGTATCTTTTTAGAACAAGACGTTTTTGCCTGTCCTAATGGCAAATCTTAATTTTAGACAGTCAAACGATGTGATTCAAGCACTTTTTCCTTTTTTATTTTTATTTTTTAGATAATTGTTTGCAGTGTATTAATATATTAACACTGATTCAAACACTGATTATTAATATATAATCAGTGTTTGAACCTTGACCTTTGAAAGAAACAGCCTTTTGTACTTTATTAACATGGCTAAGGCTAACCCAAGTGCCACACAGGTTCAACAACTACAGACACAAGCCCATAATTAACATCATTATGGCAATATGAAGGAAGTATGTTTTGATCTCTAACTGCACGGTGTGTCCCATTCCATGCATGACTAAAGCACATTACCCCTGTACTCTAACATACGCATGTGTCTTATGTCTTTGATGTGAACAAAATAACTGATAGACTTTTATTAAGATCAGATCCAATGTGCATGAGTTACATTTTTAAACTGTAATAACTGAATTATGCCAAGATGTCAGGTGTGCGGCTTCTTGAGTAAGTTTTACTCAAGGCGTCTATCATTTGCATAAGCTGCTTATATTATGGACATTTACTTAACTGTATAATGTCATTTTTACTTAATTGAGAGTTCTTGTTTCTGCATTTTTTCCTGAACATTGTGATCAAAAATACCAACGTAGAAAGAAAAAAATCAAGGCAAACCATGGAAGAAAAAAAATCAAGTGTTGTGTATCTTCATCACAATGTTCACGAATGTCAGATTGATGTTTTGTTCAGGATGTAAATGTGTACATTATTTGGAGACCCTTTATGATATAGTAACATATATATTTATCTCACTGACCATCATAATTACAGCTCAAAGTGAAATGATTAGGTCCAAGTTTTCGTCTGAGAAGGCCGGGCTGTCAAAGCTGCAGTTACGATGGTCTCAACAGTGAAATAAAGAAAATGCTTTTGCAGCGCCAATTAAAGCAATAACGTTTTAATTGCATTTTAAAAAATACCACAGCTTTTCTTGAAATGGGTTTGAAGAACATTCATCGTCATATTTGTTCCATGTTCTCATCTCCCTTCTCTTTTCTCTCTTCTATATTCTCGACTATTACTGCTTTATATAGGCGTAATGTTGCTGATGATTAGCACATTATATTCAGTTAGTATTTTTAGTTTAGTTCAGAATTATTTGAGTAATGAACATACATTTTAAAAAGTATTATTTATTCTATGTTGACGCAGTGTTTTCAGACATGAAGGGAATGGTACAGTTTACATAAGAGAGGGTTAAACAAGAAAGAATTATAGTCTGTGCCTTTCATATCAATACAGTGTTTAGTTTCCACTCTGATCTCACAGTAACTCTGTATTTGATGTATTTAAAGTACAAAGTCCAAATACAAAAGAACTGTTACATTTACATAAATAACAGACTATTATTTTCACGATTTTTGATAAATCAATATTCATTTGTATCGCACATTTAAGAACAGCCTTGGTGCTGTACAAGTGGGGAAAAACATGAAATGAAGATGAAATTAAATGAAAAACATCTCTCTTGCTACTTGGCGTTAAAAGCCAAAGAGGAAGATTCAGATTTGGTTTACTTACCACTGCATTGGAATACATGTTGCGTAAGTACCCCAGTGTGCTCCAGACAAAAGGTGCGTCTTAATGTTAGTAAATCTGAGTCAATATGTTGCGTCTGGGCCAGGCAGGGACGCAGTGGAGCGATGTCTGTCTCATTCTAAGTGCTTTTCTGTTTTTCTCAAATCAGTCTAACACGTATACAGTTTTGTTTTGAAGAAGACTATTGTTCTTCTTTCTTTTCAGTTGTGAAATTCTAAGGCCCACGTAGATGCTTATTATCTACAATGATACAAAGTTTGGGGACAAAAAGGCCTGAGCTATGCTTCTGAATCATCTAAGTATCATAGATGAAAATAAATTAGGAACGGCAAACAAAGTAAGTACAGTGGTCGAGTGGCGGGGCTCTGAGGAGTCATGGTCGCAATGGTGGAAATGGCACAAGGAATTCTAGCCTTTAAAAGTAGATTATGCAGTAGTAGTGATGCAGTAGGACAGCTTTACGCACTGGCCTGGTGTCAGTGGGACCTGCCTGTGTATGATCTTAATGTACAGTACATTTCACAGCTTGTGTCTCTGCGCTTAATGTCTGATCTATGACTGTAGCCAATGTTGATGTTTTTTATGTATGTGCAAAAATCACCCCTTGTCTTGAATGTATGAATTTTCCCGTTAGTGTGTATTTTGTGTGTGTCTGCAGGGGGACCGGGAGCCCGCCCAGCCAGAGGCCGAGTACCCTCAGGAGGAAGTGCCCAGCACGGAGACCACCCCCACCTTGAAGCGGCGGCCGCGGAAGAACCAACCCAACGGCACCGACTTCACCCTGCAGGAGTCGTCCACGGTCAAGCGACGCCCGAAGAGCCGCGACAAAGAACCGGAGGGATACCACGAACTCAAGACCCCCAACGGAGAGATGACGGCCAACACCTGCCAGCCCGTCCCGTACCAGAACGGCATGGTACAGCGCAGGTCTGTGGGGGAGGGAGTAACAGAGCAGCCCCAGAGGGAGATGGGACCACCCCCCAGAAGGGACAGTCTGGACCAGGGGGCACAGCTGGAGGGTGAGGGGGCTCCAGCGAGGAAACCCAAGCCCCCGGTGTCGCCCAAACCTGTGGTCGCCCAGATCCGGAGACAGGCGGGACTCACGAACCAGGCACAAGGTCAACCAGGGTCTAACAGGAGGGTCCCACTGCCCGGACCGGGGACTGACCACATCCCAGGTAACGACTACCCCCTTCTATGAGTGGTTTTACAAAGCACTGTTGAAAACCCACTCCCACTCCGATTTATTTAGATTGAGCAAGAAGCATATAAAGCCATGCGCTCTTATTATGGTGTGAAATTTCTGTTAGTTTGGCGTAACTGGAGCAAATCATTTCTACTCATTAATGCTATCAGTTGATCACATAAACTGGCTACTACTAGTACTGGACACAGATGCATTTAAGAGCTCGAGGAAAATTCATTGTCTTGCCAAAGGAAAGTACAGTTTGATACGTTACAGCCGCAACAAATAATACCAAATGAATACACAGTCCAGGGGTTAAAGCAAAAAAAAAAGATTTGACTGAAAATTTTTGCATGGAAATTTATCACATGTAAATCACAGTAATATGCAAGTTATATTTTTAATTACAATATATTATTGTATAATAGATTGTATATTGAATACAGCTCAAATGAATTCTTCAAAGATATACAGTGTATTTTGATATGAAATATAAGTGGATCAAGCAACGAGTCAACTTTTTGACAGAATATTAGTGAGAGTAGCTTTACTTGAGGCGATATGGAGCGTCAACACTTTGGCTCTGTCCTCGTCAAAATATCGCAAAAGGACGATACAATTCTGTCCACATTTGTTTGTGGACACGTCAATATTTAAGAAAAAGGTTTCCCTATCAAGTTTGAGTGCACAGTGCACTTCGATCAACTGCAAATGATTTAAATAAATCTACCAGCGGTAGTGATATTCTGAACGTTATTTTCTGCGATAAAGCCACAGACACGGTCCGCCAGAGCAAGGCTAGTGTCAGTTGTTGCTGATGCACCAGGTAAAGATGAAGTGTGGGAAAGTGCACAAACAGCTGCCTTGTGCGCAGTTTTGAGCTGGTGGCGAATCAAAACTTTTTTTCTCATTACTCCCATGTATGCAATTTTCTATGGCAAAGTACGCACAAGCACCGGCCACTTTCATCTTTTCGCACCATGACTCATTGATTGGCTCTTTTACATCACGCTGAGTTTTGCAAGAAGATCGCAAACAAGACAATATCAAAAGCTCACCAAGACATGTTTGTCCCCATTCCCAGTCGCAGCAAAGTCCGTTTTGTACATTCCGTTAAGTAAAATAGCATTGCGTTTGGTAAACGTTAATTACCTTTAGTCTATTACGCGCCCAGCTTACCAGTCCGCGGATTTGCTGCTGTTATTGCTCCGTTCGAGATTCAATTTTCCTCCTCTTCTCCTTTTCAAAAGCTCCGTGCAGTTTCCAGAAACTTTCACCTCCGTGTTACCAATGCTAACTTCATCGCGTCTTCATTTGCGCGTGAGCTCAGCTACGTCCCATTGCCTTGATTCATTTGCGGAGCGCTCATGTGGCCACGGCACGTTCAAGGCCCACTCGTGATTATATTACTTATTATTTCTATATACATATAAATACAATTATATTCAAATTATTATTATACATCGATATATATATATATATAACAGATTCACGCGTATATGTATTACTATATATTATTTTATAATCAATCATTTCATTGTGTGTATTATCATTATATATATATATATATATATATTTTTTCCAGACCAATTTCATTTGACGGAAATCCGTCACCTAGACGGAACTCTTTAATCCCCGACACAGTCCCTCGTTTAATTGCTTTGGTAACATTTTGGCAAACCCCATAATGTTTCCTGGGTTATGACTTGTGCTGCTGCAGTTGAGAATGTGTGAAAATCAAATGCTCAAAATGAAGTCTATCTGAGAAGGTAACTCTGGAAGTGAAATATATTTTTATGAATGAGTTATTGTGCTACATGATCAGAATATTGACCCTCTCCTCTCCTTGTATGTGTACAGCTGAAGGCAAGAGGATCCCCCCACCTGTCTCCCCTAAACCCACTCCCCCTCCAACGGCGCCCAAACCCGTCAAACTGCTGAACTCCACAACCAGCCCGCCCTCGTCCAGCCCCGCGCCCGCTACGGTCAGACAACACTCTGTGGTGGGCCCAGCGTCCAGCTCCCCTCCACTGCTGAACCAGACCAGTACCCCCAGTCCACCCAACAAGTCCCCCAGCCCCATTCCCAACGCACAGACCCCGCCCACGCCACAGACTCCGCCCACTCCACAGACTCCACCAACTCCACAGACCCCGTCCACGCCGGCCACGCCCAGCCCCACGCCGCCACCCATCAAACCACCGCGCTCGTCTATCGGGGGCGTGTCCGTGGACAGTGGGATGGGCACACAGGGCATGCCGGGGACACCGGGCAGCACAGGCCTCATTCAGTCTCCCGCCAACGCCAACACGGACCTGAGCGTGGACGCTCTGGTGCAGCAGAAGCTGGAGGAGACCAGCGCCTCTCTGGCTGCGGCGCTGCAGGCCGTGGAAGACAAGATCCTGCGGCACGACGAGTGAGACACATATTCACACACATCAACCGCTTCAAATGATAGAGTTCTGTCGTCATTGGTTCACTAAATATAATGGAAAGGGGGGATGTAATTGTAAAAAGATTTAATATAAGTGCAAAGACTTGAACGTATTTAGTTAAAGTAAGTACTTTATTTATTTATACCTTGTGTACTCACCCTCGGTGAGTCTGTAGCTCCTGCAGAGTGATCAGTGCTGTCCTGGTCTGAGCTGTTAGTTTGGGCACATGGCCGTGTCTTGGTAGGTTTGCAGTTGTTTTAAAACTGTTTAACTTTTTGTGCGGTTATGCTTTAAACTTCTCCCCAACCTTTATCCTTAACCTCTCTGGTGAGTTCCTTGGACTTCATGATTCTGTTTAGTGACCAATATTCTCTCATCAAACCTCTGAGGCCTTCACAGATTTGTATTTTTATTTGTATTTATTTATTCCTTTGACTGGGACAGTACGTGTCAATTAACATACAGTATATGGTTGAACATACTGTAGTTGTGGTCAGATTGTAGCCAAAGGCTAATTTTCATCTGTAGTCCCAGAGCGACGGGGTTGTAGTTATATTGAGACTAGATTACACTCAGATCAGGTTTCAAAGGTTGCAGTCGAAGAACTGGGGAAAAGCTACAATTTGTAGTTTCTTTGTATTTATTTTATAAATAATGATGTTTAAAACTTTACGTTTAGAGTTGTGATGAGACTACTTGTAAAATGGTTCATGGGGTGTGAATACTTGGCACTGTGTAGAGATGGTGTCCAGGATTAAGAATATAGAAATAAATGTACACGCACATGCACGTGTACATACACATAAGTACACCCACATGTGCACACATAGACACATGTATAGTTTCAGTTTCATTCACATCCGTGGCCCTCTCTCCTGTGACCTCTCTGAATGATTGACATGTTCTGTCCTTCGCAGCTCCATCGCTGAGCAGAAGTCCACCGTGAGCATCCTGGACGACATCGGCAGCATGTTCGATGACCTCGCTGACCAGCTGGACGCTATGTTGGAGTAACTGTGGATACTGCCACTGTGTTTCCATGGTGACGCTGAAGAATAAGAGGAATTTTGACGGCAAGAACACAGACACTCCACAAGACTTTGGACGAGTGTGTTTTCTCCGTCTCTCCCGCTCCCTCTGCCTGAAACACTGGCTCTGGCGGACGGAGGGGAGATAAATCATGAAACAAAAAATAAATGAAGGAATGCAAAAAATGGGACCACAATCACATGTCTTTTAAGAACTAAATTATGGATGAACTATCAACAAACCGTAATGTAATGAACCATAATATGGTATGTGTACATTTAAAGCATGGAGAGTTTATATCTACTGACAAAGTTCTGCATTAGCACAGTAATATATATATAAATATATAAATAAAAATATAGATATAATATACAATATGAATCTAGCTCTTTGGTTCAATGTCTTGGTTCATGTGTGGAATGGTGACCTCTGGTGTTGTGACAATGTAAATGATCGGTGGAAAACAAAACAAAACTAACAAAAAAACGGATTATTACTTGTGACCAAAAGGAGAGCGAGGATCTCCCGAGGCGTGCGTTTGGTGCGTGGGTGGCTCCTTTAGTGGGTTTTCATTTGTCACGTTGCTTCCGGCACATTCTTCAAGGAAAACAGGAGAAGCACAAGGCACCGACTGGCACACAATGTACACAACATGAGGGGGAGGGGGGGAACAGCCGGAGGAGGGCACCGAATACACTTTACTCACTTACAAGTCATAAATGTTTACAGCATTCTTCCACACATCTCTTCAGAGGATTGTCCAACTGCTCTTATCAAACACATGACCAACACAGTTTATTCACCTGTGCAGTCACCGGGCAGCGCATCACGACAAACGCACCCAGACACCCATGTTTTTTAACGCAGCACAGTTCTAAACGATCCGACCCCAAAGCAGTAAAGAGTCCGTCCCCGGTGCCCAGTGCTGAGAGTCCAATCCTCCTCCTGTTTCCCCACCAACCACTCACCTCGTGTTGCCATGACAATCTTTATCACCATCGCTACCATTTTTCTCATCGTCGCCATCGCCATGGTTACGAGACTGTGTGTTGCCATGACAGCCACTTTTGCGGGATGTAAAAGGTGTGAAGACGAAGCGAGAAACATCCTTGTGCTCCTCAAATAAAATCACACAGAGATTATAAATATATATATATATAAATGAATAACAGGCGTATTTATGAAGTGTGTCCGAGACTGTTTTTTTTTTTTCAGATAGTGTTCTGCTTCTCCATGCTTTAGTGCTTGAAGCTGGTGAACCTCCCAGAGTCTGTTTCTGCCTACATTTGTACATGTGTCCAATGTAAAATACACTCGCTTTTGTTACTTTTGTATTATGTTCAAAAGTTTTGTTTTGGTTTTTATCAAACATGTGCCTTGCTTTGTGATTTTCGGTCCGACTGATTCAATATAGATGGCTTTGTAAAGTACTGTTCGTCTGGCCCAAAAACACCACTTTAGAAATGACCAAACTGCATGAGTTTGTTTTCCCATTTTCAGAACCTTTGGCCCGGAAACAACCATGGAGGACATTATGATTTCTTTTAATTTAATGTTTTTTATTTCTGTAATTGATTTGACTTGATGCGGTGCTGTGGACAGATGCACTGGTTTGCATGTCAGCCATGTTTCACTACAGGAAAAATGCTTAAAGTACAATTGTCAGTGTTAGCCATGCAATAAGCAGCCTTCGCACAAAAGGGGAAACATGCAAATCTCTATGATAATATTGAGTGATTTATTTTATTATGAAAGCTAAAAAAAACATAGATATCTTAATTGATTCATGTTGAGGTGTTATATGCAGAAAATATTTGTATAAAGGCTACCAAACAAAACATTATAAAAAATATGATTGAAAAAAGGTGAAAATATAGATATATATGTGAACTGTTTACTGAACATGAGACCTTTTGTTTTTTAAATGTACTTTGTTTTTCTCCAAAATAATGACAAATATTTATAAAAGCGTAATGTTTACCACACGTTGGGCATAATGGTGTCTAAATGACCTCTCTGGCCTTTGCAGTGGAATCGCAAATTCTGGCATTCAGTGTGAAATGTATGTTTGATTTCTGCACCATAATTTATTTGTGAATCCATGAATTAAAATCAAAAAGTAATAATTCATTTGTAGCCGCTGAAATGTTATCTCCAGTGAGAAAGAATAGGCTTCTAGAGCGGACAGCCCCACGTTACTACACTTCCATGTTCAGAAAAATAAATCAGTTTCACACTTGAGAATCAATTGTGACTTGTTGTGTATGAAAATTTGATTTAAAACCGATGAAATATACTCACACTGTACTTTAAATACAACTAATAATGTGTTTATCGGAATCATGTTGGGAGATAAATAACGAGATGATTGAATAACTTTTCAATCAGGTTTATTTACATAATTTTAATCACCTAAATTAAATTAACTAACTCAGTTCAAACTATGATCTATTACTCTTGACCTTCAGTTTTCTGGTTAATTGTCCCGGATTAGCCCCAGATTATTATTATTATTATTAAAAACGTCAACCTCCTACATAATAATCTGTTTTATACCAAGATGTTTCTTTGTGAAGTTAGAGGCCGTGAAAGGATTTCATCTGAGGCTGTTTGGTCTACATTTGAACCTACAGGCCCAGATGAAAAGAGTTCAAATTTTCTTGGATTAAAGCTTGGGAACCTAACTTTTCTCTTGTTTCAATGATATCTTCTATCTCTTGCATACTGAGAGCTGATTGGGCTGAGAGTGTAGTATTCTGCTTTTCACGTTTTTTTTCTGAAAAAGCTGATCTAAAGACGTGACAGAGACAGATATTACATGCATGAGAAAACGAGTGATAGAACCAAACTAATTTTAAAACCTAGGAACTGATTACATAGATTATTTTATTTCTGTTTTCAAACTTGGACACTCCAGCTTTAACTTTATATTCTTGTCATCCTTCATACTACCAACATTGGGTGTCCTCTCCAGCTGTTATTCCCTCTCACTGGGACGGGTCTGTGCTCATATTGAAAACCTGTGTGTGTGTGTGTGTGTGTGTGTGTGTGTGTGTGTGTGGGTCATCTGTTGGTGAGAAAAGAGTGTTTGTGTGGCTTCTGCGGTGACTGTGTGAGACGCGTGTCTGGGATCGTGGCGTGTGCTTGTGGCGACTGCATCTTCTGCCCATCTGCTCTGAATAAATAAATGTTCTCTACAAACTCTGCTTCGCCCTGCTGCAAGTTTTGTGTTTTATTATCCCTTGAATGTTTGCACAGCTTTCTCTATATCGCCGTGGTGATGGATGTGAAGATGAAAAGACACATTAGAGGTAGAAACACCAAAGACAGTGCATTCTTACATCTTGTAGCAGCTGCTGAAAGGAGAAAAGGTGATTATTCATCTACTGCTATGGGCCACACAGGCTGTAAAAAGTGCATTTTATTTATATAATACTGGGCCTGATAATGTAGACCGGAGAAAATGTTGGCGACCCCCATCAATTTATATTCTTTTCATTTGAAACCTTTTATATCCAGTCAATGTTTACCGCCAATTTTTCTGGTCTGAAGTGATGAGCACATACTGTACATTTTTGTTGTTCCCAAGCTTTACAGTGCAAAAAAGCAACTAATATGTGCTCAAAATCCAATATGGCAAAATAGTAGCTTTACAAATGTGTTTTATTTAGACAAAAGTTTTTTAAACTAGTTTCAACCTCTGAAAGGTTTTAAATTGTACACATTCTTCTGAGGTATTTCAACAGTAACTCGAGGCCTTGGCTTTAAAATGATCCATCACACAAGCATAGGATTTGTGTAATGTAAGCATAACGCATTTAGGGACGTTAAACTTTACACATTCCAAGATGAGGTGATTAGTATGATGTTACTATTGTTATATTCTAGCTGCCGAGGTTTGAACATGTACAGTACAACTATGGATAATTATTGATTATCTTGGATTATGTAAACTAAGCTAGGTTCCATATTGCAGGTCCACCAACAGTAGTCAAACAAAAAGCATGAGTCGAAGAAAACTTCAGCAGAGTAATTACTGTAAAAGTTTTATTGAGTGTAACTCAGGCTTACATGATACAATAACTTTAGTGTGACTTCTGCAAGGCTATGATTTTAAGTGCACTAAAAATCAATATCACATGGCAACAGTAGAAAGCTATGGTTGAATGTACAAATAGTCTGATCCACTCGTCCAAGTTTGGCTGGGGGATGGCACTTCCTGCAAGTCTCTGGTTTAAGACGCTGAGAGGAGCAGGAGTGAGTACAGTCATCAGATCAGCGGAACAGTAATCACACATATGGCACTCTGTAGCTGAGGGGCCCAGGCCTGACCACTGTCCGCTATGTGATATAGATACTGTGTGTGTGTGTATATATATATGTATGTATAGATATAAAGGCCAGAGTGGGCATCGTCATGGCAACCATCAAACTCGGCACTGTCTTCAGTTTTTTTACACAAAATAATAGTTTACATTTCATAGTGGCACTGGTACAAAATATAAGACATCTGCATAAAATCTTCACAAATTTAAAAACAAGGCTGCTTTTACAAGAATCGATCGGACGCCGAAAGGACTTGAAAAGGTGCACTGTGTACTTTTTAGGGGAAGAGTCTGAAACACTCTCCATAGAAGTAGCAATCTCCATGGAAACAAGTACAAAAACTATAAGACAAGTTTGTATGATACAGAGCATTCTTGACAAGGCAATAACAGACACGCAGGTGATGGCCGCTCCTCCTGAGACACGACTTCTGCAGCTTCACGTTAGTGTTCAACGATCTGAGGCTTTTGTTACATATATTTACATTTATAAATCCTAAAAGATTCAAATTTGAAAAGATATAGTTAAAATATCCAACCGTTTTTGGGCCACTACTACATCTGTTGTGATAATTTGCTTTAATAAATGAGAGTCGCCCTGCTCAATAATTGTAAAAGCAGTCTTAAAACATATATTGACATTTTGGATATCATTTGATAAAACACTTTCTTCACAAGTGTCCTCTTCCTTCAGGCGGAGTGTGTGGGATACTGATAGGTCATCGGGCAGTTCATCCTTTTGCCCGTAAAGCACTGGTCAGTGTTGAAGAAAAGGTCCATAGTGAATAAAGACTTCTGCGGCGGCTTAACACGTCCAGACCTGCGGCACAAACAACACCATGTACAACCACCTCCACAACGGGAAAGGCACTTCGACAATAGCTGGTGATATCTAAATGAATCTTCCACTTGAGATGGGTTTATAGAATGGTTTAGAATGGGATTATTTGTATCAGTTAATTGTGTGTGTTTGTTGGTAAAATAATTGCTTTGTCTGTGTCTGAAGCCAACTCTGGTTTTAAAAGAACATATCAGAATTGCAGCCTAACTAATTGATAGATAGATTTGATGTATTTTTATGCTAGCTAAATAGGACTGAATGAGCTATTTTTATTGTTGAACCTGCAAGCTGTTTTTAATTGAATCCTGTAATTAGTTTTCTTCATCGCACAGTTGGCCATAAGCATACTAAATGTGCCGTGGTCTGTGGAAAATGTTTGCGGTACCTTCACGGTGCTGTCCACGGCTCCGGAGAAGAGGCGCCCCCTAGAGACGGCCAGAGCGGTGACACTGCCCTGGTGTCTGAGCAGAGTCTGGGTACAGATCATGTTGTCCATGCTCCACACCTATGAACCACACAAGTACGTTTTCAGATACGGCACAAAATCTAAAGATCTAAGAAAATCTAAGAAATCAGAGAATGAGTTCATTACAGAGTTCCATCTTTTGAAAATAAGTAACTCCAAGGGACCTCTCTTACAAGATAATAACAACAATAACTAAAATAGCTCAACATTTTACTAAATCATTATTTGGTTGGGCCAAACCACATGTATTATTTAAGGATAAAGAAAAAAACATTAATTTATTAACTACAACTAACAATTATGTGAAGATTGATCCAAAAGAGAATAGAAATGAAGTATTATGAGTATTAACAATCAGCATTGTTAAATTTGATTTCATGATACAAAGTGTGTCCATCATCAAAACAAATAAACAGCTGGATTAAATAAAAAGTAATACAAGTAAATACTTGCATCATCTAAGTAAGTAAGTCATCTTTATTTATATAGCGCCTTTCACAGACCAAAGTCACAAAGCGCTTTACAATTATTGTGGGCATTTGTCCCTCACTCCACACAGAGATGGGAGCGGGGTCGCCTACAGGGGCCGACCCCGGGGCATGCCAGACATATTGTACGTATTTTTAGTGGTAGGAGAAACCAGAGCCCCAGGTGGAAACCCGAGCACCCGGAAGAAACCTACGCAGACATGGGGGAGAACATGCAAACGCCACACAGAAAAGTCTGGAGGTGGAATCGAACTCAGGACCTTCAGTGGTTAGTGCTTGTGCCACTGCACCACCGTGACGCAGCTACAGCTACATTTGTGCTGCAGCAGAAAACAGCAATAGCAGAATAATCTCCTGTTGCATAGAAATTGTACAGCTGAATAGATTTATTGATTTTTGATGGATGTTACAATAAGTACCTGTAAATACAAACTCTGACCACAAAAGGCTTTTATTACTAAACTGGTGTCTAGGATATTTACCGTCATTACCATGCGCGGAAGAAATGTCTTACCCGGAGTGAGCGGTCATAAGACGCACTGAACACTTTGGTCTGGTCTGGAGTGGAGATGACGGCCAGCGCGTACACGGTTCCCACGTGTCCCGTCAGAGTGCGCACCTGCTCCTTCGACTCGATGTCCCACACCTGCAACACACCCGTCATTTACTACACACCTGCAAGTGCTCGGGCAGAAGAATAATGCTCAAATTGCATGAGATTGTGAATCAGCTGAGTGTTCTCCTAAACACAGAACACTTTTGGGCCAATATTGACGTCAAGGCCCCACCCACTTCCTGGTTTGTGTCTTAGCGCGAGTACTTCCTGTTTTGTATTTTTCCCCTGTTTTGTTCTACACCCATGCTGACTTCAGGACCTCTTTACGATCAGAGTTGGGGATGTTGAGCGGCTTTTAATCACGCTCTTGTGCCGCACGGAGCAAAAAAATGAAACAGGAAGTGCTCGCGCCTATACACCAACCAGGAAGAGGGGCTGTGCACAGAGGGTCAGCACTAGATCGTATACGGAATCGGGACGGAAGCGGAGGTAAAAATAACAAACTACCTATTCATGCCTAAACTTAACCAGTCATTCCCATAAAATAACCCCACCCCAGCCTTAACCCTAAACTTAACCATCTTAATCAGACGCCTAAACTTAACCAGTCACCACTTAACCCTCTAGGCGCCACGGTCGACTTAAGTCGACAAGCTGCGCTACTGTTAAAAACGGCCGAGTGTGTCCAACTGAGTGTCAAAATTCATTCATACTCCCTGCCACTAGTTGGCAGACATGTCAGACTACCTCCCTGGCCCCAAAAAACTTCATGCTCCCATACAAAATATTCGAGCAAGACCGCGTTGAACCAGTGCAGAAATCATTGTGAAGCGATGCAGCTGCGGGGCAGCCTGCGAGTGTTATAGCGCACCAAACACTAACTTTAGACACTTTGTACAGGGTCTGCAGTGGGAACAGTGTTTCTCAGAGTAAGGCAAAGTCATTGGGAGGTTTGGAGACAGGTTAGATTTGCGGAAAACAAGCCTGGAACTCGCGTCGGGGGACCGCGCCGCGACCTCCCGTCTCCGCTGAAGTTTCCGCTAAAGTCTCCGCTAAAAGTGCTTCCCACATATTTATTTTCATGCCTCCCGTAATCACCGGGACAGCAACGTGTTGGAGAAGCTTTGTCTTGTGTGTGTTAGACGAGAGAGAGATCAGGGGAGATGAGAGAGAGAGAGTGGGGGAGACATCTGCAGCAGGAGAGTCGCGGTGACGCGCTTCACCTGGAGGCGCGCGTCTGGGCAGACAGCTTACAGCAGCAGCATGATTTGTATTTTTTACTATTTTCATGAACATTTACAATGTTACAGTGTGTGTTTTGTGTGTGTTTATGTCTTAGTGATCAATATATGTCTGTCAGTTAGAAAAATACAAATATTGTATGAAAATTCTATAATCCACTATTTCTAACGCCAAATGACGTCATAATATGCAAATTAAATGGGGGGATTTATTCTCTACATAAACTTTGGACCATCCTTGATATTTTTCTAATTTACAGAAAGCCTTTAGCTCTTATCACTTTTAAGTTATAGCCTTTTGAAATTAAGATGTCAAAATCGAGCGTTTTGGAAAAAAACCTCTGGCGCTTAAAGGGTTAAGGACTTATTAGTCTAAAACTAGTATGATCGTTACTTCCGGTTTCGTCCCGATTCCGTATATGATCTAGTGCCGACAGTGCACAGAGCTGATCGAAAAGGTGACCATTTGCACTTAGTCAAAATCCACATGCCACTGTTTACCAGAGATTTTTGATTTGTTTGTGAAATAGTCCGGATCCTGTCAGAGTAACACAATCACCGGTAATGACACACACAAAGGACGGTTGGTAAAAATGGGGGCGGAAACATTGAGTCATATGAGGTGTAATTTTGTCGCCAGAAGCAAACGTTTTCACTTGTCGCTTACGTGGATGAGGTTCTCGTAGGTGCCGCAGACAATGTGGTGGTTGGTGACGGCGATGGAGTAGACACTGCCCCCGCTGGTTTGGAGGACATGCACACACTCCAGAGAGCGTATGTCCCAGATCTGAGGAAGATTATTATCATCATCACACATGTGTTTGGACCACGGCTGCAGACGCTGTATGCAAAAGGCTTCCGCTTATATACTAAACATAACTCGTAATTCACCTCAGTAGAAATATAATGGAGACAGCTTATTGAATCTCGGGAAATCGGATTATAACAATTGCTTGAATATGACTTGTATTACTCTCTTCAATTGAACGCTAAAACCTCGCTCTCTCAGGGACTTGATACAGCTCATCAGACGTTTCTTCAATAGCCTGTCCCAGAGGAATTCATTAGCGCTCCCACTCACACACACGCGCACACACCTGGACGCTCTCACAAATTTCACCAAGGTGTTTCACAAAGGAGACTCAACGGCAATTACTGTGTACACTTGTTCCTTTTTTTTTAGACTTGGAGCAGCACACTGAGCTGTGGCTAATCACCCGAGTTGAGTAGTGACAGCAGGCCCAGAGCATATTTACAGACAGAGAAACTGCTCTAGAGGCCTGCGTTTGTACGGGCAAAGACAAAGGACTGGTCAGAGGAGTCCAGTCTACATAGGGAGCATGACAACCACTCAAACTTTGGAGCTGTAATTACTACAAAAACTGCCAATAAAAGCATTCATTGATGTAAAAGCAGAAATGGTTCATAGTGTATCTTCGATGGCAGTAGTGAGTTGCAAATGTACCTTGATGGTCTGGTACGAGCCGCTGTACAGGTGGTTCTGTGAGGCCACCAGGGCTCGCACCCAGTGGTTCAATCCAGTCAGCTCCTTCTTCAGCTTCAGCTCAGTGCCCACAATGTCCCACACCTACAAAAAACAACATCACAATATAATGGTCAAAGAAAAATAAGCTAAATGTATACTTAATATCATCATATACTCCCAAATGTTAAAATACATTCTTAACCACTGGAAAAGAACACATTTGCTGTACCCTCTAAAATATTATGTATTTATTATTCTTTATCTTTACTCTTTTTAATGCACTGTGACTATTTATTATTTCAATCCCATGTGTGATTTTAATGTTTTAATGTTTTTTAATAACTTGTGTGATTTTATTTTCTATGTTTTTAATATGTCTTGTGAGGTTAATGTTTTTTTAATTGTTATTTATACCTGATGTGATATGGGTTGTGAGGTGCTTTGTGTTGCCGTGTGTAGGAAAGGCGTTCTACAAATAAAAGTTGAATTATTGATTTATTATTCTGCGGTTATTACTCTAAATTAACTTTTAATATTTCACAGAACTTCTTTATAAATCAGAATCAGACATGAACAATAAAGACAGGAAAGTGGGCTGCAGAGACTTGGCAGAAGGGAGAAGTCTGAAGGAGAGGAAAGTCCCTGTGCGAGTGTGGATGACATCACACACACAACAACACATATGTTCCACTGTCCTTCAACAGAAATACTGCGATCAGAAGTGCTTCAACGTCACTTTTCAGGCTACACTCATTTTGTAATTCCAATCGCAGCTTTTGAACTTTCTCTTTGTTGAAATTTTACTTTTTCTATTCTATACAGTATATGACCCCTTATTCACCTCATTGTGTTGAAATGCCTCAGAGATCAGTCATGTCCACTCTTTGTGCTGCATAAGCGACCATAAATGGAGTTAAGAATTAACCTTTGAGTATAATTGTGTGTAACCTTCTCCTCCTCCTCCTCCTCGCTTTCCCATGTCACATGTTTGTCTTCCACCCATGTCTCTCATCTGTGTGCACCCTCAAACATCATCAGTGAGGGGGCTTTGGTTAAGCTGGGCTGACAACCTGAGATGGGGCTCCACCCTGAGTCTCACCCAAATTTTATCTGACCAGGATTTGACCTGCACCAATCAATGAACAATTGAATAAGTGCATGTTGTTGCTTCTTGGTTCTGACCTTAATGGCTTTGAGCGAGCCGCTGAAGAGCATGTTGTGAGAGGACACCAGCGTGCACACAGGGTTGTCATGGGCACGGATCGTGTTCACCTTCTGCAGAGTCTGGATGTCCCACACCTGCACACACACACACAATAAGGACTGTTTGACTGAAACTCACATTGTCTTATGTTTGCGGAATAACTGAGTACTGAAAAGGCACGTACAATAATGGTGCAGTCAGCGGAGCCACTGTACAGCCGGTTTCTATGGAGACAGAGGAGTCATGGTTTCAGGAACAGAGATAAAACCAGATACAAGTTATTCTCTCTTCTTACCCCTGGATGCACAAAGCCAAGACGATGCCGTCGTGCCCCTCCAGAGTTTTCTGGCACTTGTAAGTGGTGCATGTGTCCCACACCTGAAAAACACACCAAACTTACTGTCATTTGCAAAAGGAAATATTAGAGATGAACTGTATCAGATCCAGTCTGCATTTGTTCTCTCTGTCTGCTTAGAAGATGCACACCTTGATGGTCTTATCTGAGGAGCCGGAAAAGAGCAGGTCTCCAGTGGAGTAGACACACAGACACCAGACGGGGCCCTGGTGCCCCACAAACGTGCCCTTACATTTGAAGATCTGCTGAGGGTCGTACGCTGGATAGAAAACACATTTGAGTTTGATACAGTTTGAAGGATGTAGATTTCAGTTTCATGAAGGACACAATGACACATACAGCCCAGGATTCCCATGTTCAGTCTGGCGTTGATGTGGGAGAGCTCATCCTTTAAACACAGAGGTTTGATTATAGCAATGTACATTTTCATGTAATGAGGAAACTTTAGGAAAACATACGTTGAGCATTGAGGCGTCCCTGCGGAACTCCATCAGGTCCTCGCCCAGTTTGCTCTGGTTCTCGTCCAACACATCTGAAAGTTTATACTGCATTTATTGAACTCATCACTGGATTTGGTCACAACATCTTCAAAATCCATCTTTATGTTGAAAAACAATATACAGACACAGTAAAGTTTAATAACAGAGTATTAGTGTGTTTGTTCTGTACTTCCAGAACTGGTTATAATAATTTACGTTCATGTTCTAGAAAACAGAAGGTTGGAGGACAGGTGCAAATACAACTTGAAACTGAAAAAATCTTCAAATAAATGTTTAAGATTATTATTTGATTCACAAAGCTGAACTATTATTCTTATGTCTGAAAGTCTCCAACATTATGCATGTTTCTTTTTTAAATATTGTCACCACTTCTAAACACCAGACTAGATCATTTTACACTTTTCATGGTTACAACGAAAGATTTTTCAGCCGCCCACCACCACCATCCTAAACTCTAGACTTATTTATTAGCATGTTGTGATGTCACGAGAACGCAACCTTTCGAATATATTTATCTTTGCATGCTTTCAGCTGACTAGAAGATACTATGGATGATACCCACACACAAAATTGTAATTAGTCATCAAGAGAACAAGCAAAATGTCAACTCTCTCACCAAATTTCAGCTCCAGGTTTTTCTCCAGCTGGTCGAGCTTTTCTGACAGTTTGCCCAACATGGAGCGCAGGAAGGCGATGTCCTGGTCCTTCTGCGCCAGAGTCAACTGCATCTCATGGAACCTAACAAGACGAAGCAATACATCGTTGCATTAGACTTACATGGCCGTACGTTTAAAGACTTTTAGATGACACAGAAGTTAAAGTCCCGCTGACCGGTCATCTGTCTGCTGTAGGAACTCCTTTAGGCCCTCAAACTTGCAAACCTCCAGGTGGGTTTCGTAGGTGTCTTGGTTCCCGATGAACGTGCATCTGAAAGCAGGCGGCGCAGAAAGGCATGATGGGTGACAATCTCAATCACTGTAAACAAGCCATTTGCACATTTGCAGATGAACACTCACCCATATTTGGAGTGGGGGCATTTAATGTGCTCACACTCTTTGAGGTGGGCTTCCAGGTTCATGGTGAGCAGAGGGGGGCAGGACGGGTTGTTGGGACAGCGCACTGGTCGGTAATCACAACTAGACTCGTGTTCTCTGGAGAAAGAGATTTGAAAGTTAGCATTGGATGTGGTCAATAGGGAAATATTCTGAATTAAAAAAGAGCCAACCATAAACAAAGTGTTGGAATGGAATGATGATAAAGTTGTAGCTCAACAGCTTTAGACTTAAGCCCCATTCACATAAATATACCGTTTCAGTTTGATTGACGCCTGAAGTGAGTCCTGGGGTTGTCTTTTCCTGTTTCAAACTTTGACTGCAGACCACTGGGTAAACTGCAGAAAACTAAAACTGGATTTATGTCATATCATGGAACTACGGAACATATGATGGAACAAATCAGACTGGCATGTATGGAGATACGTGTCTGACTTAAATTGCAAATGGCACAGATGTCAGAGAATACCAAAATTGGTTCCTCTGCTTTTTCTCAGGATATGTTTATGTGAATGGAGCTATAAAGTATCACAAAACACAAGACAGTTAAGACATCTTGAAAATGTTCATCCTATACTGCTTCTCTTTTCTCTAAACCAAATCATCTCTAACTTCAATCTTTAACGTACTCTTATCGCCCTCTTCAATCCTGTAAAATCTGCTGCATGCAACTCTCCGCCCTGGAACCAAGGCCACGTTGTCTGTCCTGAGTCCTTACTTGCGTGTTGTCAGTTTGATGGTGAATGGGCAGCCAAGAGGGTCCACCTCGAAGGCCCCTGGTTTTGCGGCCACCGCTCCGGCCGCACTGCCTTCTGCTCTGCATCCGTATTTACAGTGAATAAACAGCTCTCCTATCTGCTCCGCGACCGCAATGTTGTTCACCACCACGGTTAGCTTAGCCGTGTCCACAGGGCACTTGTCTGGAACATAGAGAGGGCTTTTGTTAAGAAGACTCGATAAAAAATTAAACTAATGTTCACTTTACCTGAAGTCAAGGCACATCGTCTGCAGAAGGTATGCTGGGAAATAAATCAATACAACAGTTACATTCATGCACTGATTGAGGATATGCAGATATGATAAGTATATCTATACACATAATTGGTAAACACAGAAAGAGCAAAACATTGTTTTACAATGTAAAATACGTCTATCTGTTCTTCAACATTTAGACGGACCATCTTAAATCCATCTTGTAAAATGTTGTCTCTTACAATCTTCTCTGATGTCATAGAATACAATGGAGTAATGAATCTCAGAGAACCGGCTCACTAAGCTTTTGTGACATAGAAAACATCCACTGAGTTATTACTGAGAGTGACTTACCCCACAGGTTGTGATGACTGGGTCCTTGAAGACATTGCAGCACAACTGACAACACAGTTTGACTGAAGGCGGCTCAGCAAACACTTGTGGTTCCTGCAAAATAAAGTCATTTAGCCCTTGATCCCTGAAAACAAGTTCCCACATACTTTAAAATATGCTGAAATGGTCCTCATCTGTGAATGTAGAGGCCACTCATACCAGGTCCTCTTCCTCCTCATGCAGAGAGAAGGTGGAGCGCAGAGACATGTTGGACTCCGAGTGGAGCGACCGCACAGAGATGGCCGAGTCAGACCTTCGGGGAGTACCGATGGGGGGCTAAGGGATATAAGGAAAACAAAGATTACATTTAGTAATTACATGCATCATAAATAGAGCATGTACATACCATTCCATCGTCATCATCGCGTGGGGAGTAGGTCAGTGTGCTGGAAGAGGAGGGAGTTCTTCTGTGCTGCTTAAAGCTGCTGCTCCCTTCAGCTAAGATTAAACAACAATTACATGAATAAAAAGCAAGTTAGTCAATAGATACAGATACAGTTAGTTAGCAAGACAATGAAGGGAATCTAGGGATTTTTGTGAAAGAGTTGCAGAGTGTAACTATGGCTGCAACAATCAGTAATTTATTGAATATTACTTTTTCACTTCTCTGCACATCATTAAATGCATTTTATTTTCATACATATATATTATAGATAAAAAAGTAGGATTCACAGTTAAAGGAAATCAGTGTAAAATGTTGATTCCAGTATGAGTCACGTTCAGTGGAGTGTGGCACCACACAGAAACAGCTTTGGGTGAATCAAGTGGCGCAGTAAGTTCTGTGCATCAATATAAAATAATAACCAATAAATAAAGGAAATTCATTTATAATTTAAGCTTTTTCAAATAATTTTATTTGATTAAACGCTTCAGCCCGAGTGTAACATTTGTGAAAGATGGAAAATACTGAATAATGCATTTGAGAACATTGTATTTGAAGAGGCAGAGATAGATGGAACCGTAAAAACTTAAAATAAAAACACCATTCTAATTTGCACATGCAGTTTAGCCCCTGGGTTGATAAATACACCCCATGGATGTGCGCCCATACCTTTAGCACCAGTTGCCACCGATGAGAAGGTCGGCCCAAAAGAGGCCTCCATCCTCCTCTGTCGAGAGGCAACAACAGTCTTAGTAAAAACCACCACTGCTCACATTTATGAACATGTAAAAAGTTTACATTTATCAAGAGCTGTCTCACCAAGTTGCAGGCGTCTGCTGAGGGCGTGGATGGGCCAGAAGCAGGTGCAGAGAGAATGGTGACTGCAGTGTGACGTTTTCTATCTATGTGGTTTTTCCACAGTGCAGGCGTGGGTCAAAGTGCTAGGCCTGCAAGAGACAAAAAACTCAATCTGACAGAAAAGTTTACAAAAGCAGAGTTGAAGTAGTGCCTGGGGATGAATCCACAGAAATAAGCAGTGGATGTTGGAGTAGAGAGAAATTCGCCCACATTTGGCCAGAGAAAAGCTAATGCCTGCCAGAGCCAGAGAAACAAGCGGACAAAGCGCAAATGGCTGCTTGTGATACGTAATAAACCCCAATGGGATTAAAACCGGTAATGCTAACCCATATAAAATGTATGACTCTGAATACCAAACATTTCAGAATAAACAGCAATAACTATGGCCTTTCTTTCACTTCAGTGAAGTTAATGAGCATTGACTGAAGGTGGCAATGCTGCTGGAACATACTCCATGGGAATGGAAACATTACCCCATAGTTTAGTTAGTTTGATTTTATTTTAAACCTTCATAAGTTTGGAAGCCAAAGAAACCAGCGAGATAAAGCCCTCACAAGAATCAATACGACTCAAGTTGGTGGAGATCCATTGAAAGAAATTAAATAATACCTAAGGCCTTCATTCATTTACAAAATGTGCTGCATCATAAATTAATTCTGAAAGAGAAGCTCAAAAGTGAGCTGCTCAGTAATGGCATTATCCACAATACTCTGCTCAGTGTCTCCTGTCGTTGTGATGGAGGAGAAACAGTCACATTGCTGCTTCATTGTAATGCTGTTAGCAAATAGGAAGCAGCCCAGGTCGGGATATATGCATCTAATAAGCTGGATCATTAAACTGGCAATTGCAAAAACTCGAGCTGAAAGGACATGTGTGATTTTGGTGGTATGTGAAGGAGGTATGTCACCTGCAGTCACACATTTAATGAATGCCATACTGTGGAAGATTATGGTTGAATTTATAAGGAAGCGAGCAGGAGGACCACCTCCAGGACAAAAATTAATCAGGTTTATGAACAAGCAGTCACAGTCACAACCAATAAGAAAGGAAAATGTTCTTTAATTTAAGTCCCTACTTTGTGTATAAGTAAGTTACACAAAGGGCTTTATACTGTTATCTATCTATATGCATACATTGTTTAGTATTTGAGTTTAAGATAGTTACCAAAGGGGCAGCTGTTATGTGGTGGTGATACAAACTATATTGATGCAATAGCACGGTGTGGTTTTTACAACAAACATAGATTGCAGCATTTAGCAGCTGCAAATGTATTGTAGACCAGAAAGCTACCGTTAGATGTTAATGCACATTTTATATGAATATGTTTTATTGTTACAGTCAGAGTTTAGAGCATCAGCCACTTCCTTGGAATATTTAAAAGAATGCAGATGATCATATATTCAGCAAATAAAATTAATAATTGAAGGAGCATTACTTATTACAATGCAGAATGACAGAAAAATAAGTCAAATAAAAATATATCTGGAATACTGGGGAAAAGAACACATACTTTACAGATACACTTACAAGAGTACATCTCTGGTTTTGGGACATGAAATAAAACACATCCTATTATACTGGTTATTACAACATAGAAAGCAAAGTGAGAATGAGTTGTGCAAGACTGAAAACATAAAACAAGAAGAGTATTACTTATCACAATGGCTTTAGAGTTTGAGTGCATGAAATATTTGGCGATAGGAGAGTGGTCCACTGCACTGATCTGAGTGATCCCACTGATAGATAGCATTGTGTGTACTATCAAAAAAACAAAACAAATCCACAACAAAGTCAGTGGCTTTTCTCACGTACTCCGGAGGTTCATGAAAAGCACGCCCCCAGCACAAACACACATGCCAAAGTTGAAGAACGAACAAAACACATGCTTTAACCCCTTTCAGTTATATTTGGGTAATAAAGCATGTATTATACCGCTAATGCTACTGCGCCTGCTGTGGTTACTGAGCAGGATCATCATTAGCTCGCTGAAGTGGCTTGTTTGCTAGCTAAAGTTAGCCAATGTTGCTTTTTCCCAACCACCACAAGTGTAATGAGAATCTAGCGCGTACATAAACGTGCCTTTGTTGTTTTTATGCTAAGTCACGCTGGGATGTGAATGATAACAGTTTATAACGTTGTCTTACCATTATTTAGACAGCAGCACAGCCTCAACTCAGCAGACGGATCCCAAAAATCTTTTCTTGTGCCCCCCTCTCTCGCGCACAGACAGCGAAAATTGCGCATGGCATTGTGGGACATGTAGTACAATCGCAAATTATTTCTTGTAATTTGACTGATGCGCCGCTTTGATTTATTTTTTTAAATTTTAGTTTTACAATTCTATTTGGTTCCTGGTTAGTTTTTAGTTGCCTAGTAAGACATTAAATTCAAAGTGATAAAAATTAAAACAGATGTGCCGCTTTGACCAAACTCCATCGTCCATATCTTTTTTACTAGCGAGTTCTGATTGGCCGAGGAGCTGTCAGTACCTTTTGCGAGTCGATTCTGGACAAATTATTCCCAAATTGAATACCGCTTTTCATTTGCCATTGGGTCCTGGTCCGGTCGAGCTATCGTGCGACATACCGCGTCACGCAGAGGAGGACGGCACATGTGTGGTGGTGTGATGGGACCATAAGAGAAAGGGAAAAACATATCGCACACACACACACACATCAGTCCAGATTCTGTAAAAGATCCATGTTGCGTGGGAGTAGGCGTAGATCTGCAGTCTGTAAATAACTGCAGATGAGCGCAGATGGAAGGGGATACAGTACTTCAAGAGTTACCGATCCCATCCACTCTATTCAATGACCATCATTTGACCAATACTGTGTAACAGTAACACTGGATTACTTTCATTATGTTTGAAGGATCATAAAACATTTATGATTTGCTTTGCCAAATAATATTTTCAATGAAAAATATTAAATTAAGATTTAGTCATATAGTGATATTGTATTATTATTATTATTTAGAATGGCTGGAAGAGTGCTGTCTGTCATGTCAGCATGTAGCCAGAAGAGGGCGATGTTTTTCTTCCTTACTACAGACTAAATCCATGGGTCCCATGGATCTATTATGGGTCCGTGTTTCTACCATGATTTTGCTGCTGTGATGATGGAGCACACCATAATAGGCCTTCAGTATTTTGACAAATTATTCAATTGAGGTAAGTAACTTGAGGGGAGACCTCTGGGAACTGGCTGTGGCCACACTGTGTGAATGGCTGATGGAGCCCGGGGGGCCAGTGGCAGAGACTGGTGGCAGCCAACGTGCAAAATGAATGTCATGAGACTGGTTTGCGTTGGTGAACACTAACAAAATACTTCCCAAAAAAAAAAGAACAAATTTGTTAAAGGAATAGTTCACCGTTTTTACATACTGACATATGTTCTTACCTTACCTTAGACTAGTTAATACGTACCTGTCTGGTCTTAGTCCGTGCGCTCTGTCATGCAAACGGAGCAAAAACGGGAGCACAACCGCAGCCTCCTCTGGTCACTGTGTAGGACCAAAAGGTAGCTCCCGCTAGAAGCTACCAAACTCTTCCAAGTGTTCCCTATTAAATGTATATAGTTACGTGACGTGTTACACTGCAAAGTATAGTAACACAGAAATGTAACAGTCGATTTTCTCAGCGGATAAAACGGGTACTATATTGTGAGGCGTAGTAATCTGAGGAGCGCTACGTCCGCGCACTAACTTCTCTCCGGAGACTTCTCTCTCGCTCACTTCCGTCAATAGAAGCAGCGTGACTTGTAATACACACAGTAGCAGCGAGAGAGAAGTCTCCGGAGAGAAGTTAGTGCGCAGAGAAGTTAGGAGCGCTACGTCCGCGAGCTACCTTTTGGTCCTACACAGTGACCAGAGGAGGCTGCGGTTGTGCTCCCGTTTTTGCTCCGTTTGCATGACAGAGCGCACGGACTAAGACCAGACAGGTACGTATTAACTAGTCTAAGGTAAGGTAAGAACATATGTCAGTATGTAAAAACGGTGAACTATTCCTTTAGAAGAACTGTGAAATTGACACATATTCTTCTCAGGTGGTTTCTAAAATGTTATGGCACAGAACTGCTAACATGATTGCACATATTGGGCTTGAATGCACTTTTGAATAAGACATGCTCCCCACACACACACACACACATGCACACACACAGACTGATTCCATTAGAGCGCGGCCAGGCCATTAGTCATTTTATCTTCTTTGTGTTGAAGCGACTTTTATCCCTGCAGCCTCCCAGTTATCAGGCAGATGGTGTTCTAACGTGGCACTAACTTGACTTTCAAGAGTTTCAGTCTCTGTAGAATCTCAATTGTTCTACTTTACAAGATGTGGCAGATGACAGTGGGCATAAAACGTTGTCCACTGAGAGTCTGAAAGTAGGAAATGTATGTGATGCCTTTTATCTTGTTTATGTGTGTGTTTCAGCACTGGGCTGTGGAGGCAGATGACTAAACAAAGATGCACCAACTTCCTCCAACTGAAAACTGTGTTTCATGCCCACAATTCTCAAGGGTTGTTCTGCAAATCCATGTGGGCTCTTTATGAAAGTCAGGTAGGTATCAAATAGGGATGGATCTACTGTAAATAACTGGTTACATTACTCATTTTGGTTATTTCAGGTGATGTATTTCATAAGATAAGATAAGATAGACTTTATTGATCTCACAATGGAGAAATGTACATGTCACATTTGGCATGGATAGTTTCACTCAGGTTGTGCAAAAGACAAGAGATGTGCAAAAATGTTAAAAAGTGAAAAGAGTCTCTTTTGTGCAAGTTTTAATATGTACAATTGAATAAATATATATACCGGTAATTGTCAACAGGCAAATGCACCTAGTTTCTACCCAGATGCACACAATTTGAAAGTAGAAGGTCTGACTGGTCAGGCTACTGATTTGCTGTAATGCAACCATAGGTGATGGGCGCTGGTGATGTGATCATAGCATTATTAAGTCAATGAAGTCTGTTTTCTAACGTTAAAGGAGCAATATGTAAAAATCTGACTCAGGTTGTCAGATATGCAGACGAAACCATAATATCAGAGTTTTGTCAACAACAAAGGCTCCAGTAGAAATCCTAGTTTTATTCCTTGATTTGTCATTGATGATTTGAGAATCATAACGAGACTTTTTTAGTTCTGCAGCCACATGTTACTTTACCCGTGAGATTAGCTCAATGCAGTGAGTTCTGGCAATCCGGACCACAGACTTTCTGATTGGAGGGCGAGACATCGAAATAAAAACAATAACAAGATTTAGGGGCTGTAAAACTAATTTTGAAATTTGAATATCTCGGCTGAACTACTGTCATCAGTTAAAGATGTATTTGAAAAGAGCATGTTTTATTACTGCCTTTTGACAGATTAGGGCCATTTAATGATGACTTGACATGAAAATCTTACATATTGCTACTTTAAGTCAACTTGTGAGAAATATTGGTCATCCCACATTGCTCTCATGGGACTATGAAGGAACAATGACTCTAGTCTGAGCTCATCTCCCAATTAAAAAACCCTCTGCAGGTGGTGAGCTCCCCTGGGTGTGGCCATCTGAGCTGAGGAGCTCCTTCAGTGGAAGACTGAGGCACCCTCAGTACAGTGAAGGAGCACTACCTGCCTTTATCCCAACTGCTGTCAGACTGTACAATAAGTCACTTTAAGTCACTTGCACTAGGACTAAAAACCTGCACTACTATTGCCACTGTTTCTTTAATTGCCACTTTTTTATTGTACAAAATATATCCTGAAAAGACTATATCTTTTGCCTTTAGCATGTTTGCACACACTTTTGACTTCTGTCTTTTGCACAAATCTTGAGTGATTCTATCCATGCCAAATGTGACATGTACATTTCTCCATTGTGAGATCAATAAAGTCTATCTTATTTTATCTTAAATATATCACCTGAAATAACCAAAATGAGTAATGTAACCAGTTATTTTTACAGTAGATCCATCCCTATTTCTCCTGTGTGAGATCCATAAAGTCTATCTTATCTTATCTAATCATCTGCACCATACCATGATAAGGTGGCATTCCATGGAGGAGAACCTTTGGAATAAAGTATCTACACAAATACAAATTGTTAGTTACACACAACATACAACAAATGAAGTCATCGTTAACTGGTTCTTTGACGAGTGTACTAATACAGTGTTGTGGTTTTGATGTAGGTCAATCTAGAATGTTTTCAATAGACCTGACCGTAAACAAAAGCAGTATTTTAGCAGTATTCTTCACAAACCCTTTCTGCTTGTGTGCACACACTTGACCTGGATCCACACAACAGGCTGAACCTCTCCCATTCACTGTTCCATTAGGCAGCGGCTGTAGGGGACAGAGGCCTGGATCACTCACATGGGGCATGGTGCAGAGGAAAGGAGAGCAGGGGGCATGTTGACCATCAAAGTATGACTGGTTTGAACAGTGCATCCTGATGTGGTCCAAGTTTAGTTTTGTTTAAGTCCTGGTTTTGTACTAAATTCAGTCCACAGCTTTAGCGAGATACAGTATGTTCTCTGAACATGTTTGTAGATGTGTTTAAACACAGGCATAAACAGTGTTCTTTGTGTTAGATAACATGAATGCACTTTGAAATTGCACGTGCGAGCCATTGGTATTGGGACATTGACACATACACCACCACATCCATACAATTTCTTCTGCTTTATCCTTTTTCCAGCTCACCTGGGAGAATCTCGAGGCATTCCCAAACAAGGGTGTCCTGGGTCTTCCCCAAGGCCTCCTCTCTATGGGACATGCCCAGAACACCTCCCCCCGGGGAGGTGTCCAGGAGGCATCCAAAACAGATGCTGGAGCCACCTCAGCTGGCTCCGCTCTCATTTGGAATATATAATTTATGGCCACCCGGCTGTCCAAATTTAATATAAAAGATAAAGCCAGATGTAATTAAACTGTTTAAAGAATAGGGACAGTCAGTTTTGCAGCTGATCCATGGACAGATGAGTTCCATAGAAACAAATAAAAGGTCTAGTTAGTCTCATTTGGGCTGAGAAAATACAGTTTACATATCACACGTAACTGACATGTACATGCTTTAATCTGGGACATCCCAAAGGCCTTGAAACAGCAGTGCTCAAGCCTCTGTCTTAATGTCACATACTTGATCTGTCCATCTCAAATGTATAGGACAGTACATAGACAAACCCACATTACTACTATGAGTCTGGGATGTGCCTGAGTGATGTCAGAGGGCCGATGGCACAGATTGGCAGCCTTGCTTCCACTAGTCTGCCCCAAGGCAGCTGTGGTAGTTCACCACCATTGTGTTTGTATGAATACATAATATTGAGAAGTGTATTTGCGTGTCCAAAGAGTGCTTTTTAAAACCAACGCATTTGTGGCAGTTGCTGAACATTAATGACCAGTCTTTTAGAAGATCTGAATTTGTCCAAAAACCCAATGAAATCACAGAGTTCTGGTCTGTTTTTTAAATCTCAGTATCGTCCCTGCACTTCATCATTCTTTTATTCTATTACGTTAACGCTAAAACAAAAATGGACAGCAAAGACTGCCCTAAGTTCAGTTACTGAAGTGGAAAGTACCTTTTATTTTCCATCTCCACCCATGTGTTACTTTGTGGTGCAGCCATCTGTAATCATCTTAAATATGATTTATGCATTAATAATGATCGCTGAGTAAGGGCCTGTCTCTAAGTGCAGCCACTATACTCGCACGCAAACTTAGGCCAGAGTTCATACCCCGCGACATGGGGAAAAAAATTAGAAAATATATGTAACTGAAAGGTCTGTCGTGTCATAGTTTGGGGTAGCAACTCAAAAAGGGAATTTATTTTCAGTCTAAGATTCTATTTCAAATGTCAACTTGTTTCGTGGGCTAATAAAACATCTTGATCAAACACAGTACACAAACAAAAAAAAATCAGAAAAATTGGAAATAGATGGCACTTTTTTAGCATTATTTTTAACAGTAAATAAAAAGTAAAACTAATGGAAAGTTCTTGAATTAATTCCACTTGTTTGCATTTAACCTTTTCACACTGATTCTGACAATAAGAAAATTTCTGGATTCTAATGGAGCAGAGAGAGCACTTGTTTCTGCCTTAATCTGCAGGAACAATCCTGTACATTAACACAGCTGTATAATCTAGGGCCTCCTCATCAAATATGAAGCTTTTTAAGCGTTGACATCAGATTTATACATATTTATATTTCCTGGATTAGAAATTATATGGTGCAGGTAGGATATAAAAGCGAGTAGTGGAGATTTCTGTGGTTTGTGAAACGATATTTGCATCTCTTCCATCTGCTTCCTCCTCTCAAGAGTAAAACAACATTCAGACTTGTGCATTCTGTATTATCTGTATCATAGTTTGGACCTTGATGGTCTTGATCAAGTCCTGGTTTAGTCCTGGTTTCATTACGGTTTATATTCACAGTGATGTGGTGCTTGAGAGAGATAGTTCAACTGCATTATAGTTTGCAGTGGGTTTCCTCCAGGTGCTCCAATTTCCCCCACCACCCAATAGCATGCACCATACAGGTATAATACTTCAGCTCAGGTCCTGACCAAGAGGATCCACATCTGGAGGCCCCCGGGTGTTGCACTGTGGTGACTATACTACTCCTGACAGGCTGCTAGTGGCATTGAAGGATGGGTCAAATGCAGAGGACCAAGACAGGAAACTTTGATCTTAAACAATAATATTCAGGATTAGACTTTTTTTTCGATGAAACCAGTGAAAAGTGTGGTCATGGGTCATGGTGAGCAGTCCTTCTGTTTCCTATGACTGACACAGTGTCCAGGGACTTAAGTGTTGCAGTTTCTATTTTTTCATTTATGGTGAGAACTTCCAATTTCCCCACCATTTTACACCTCCTGTAAGTGGGAACTGCTTTATTTCCCAGCATGCACTATAGGACCTGGGTTGTACAAAATGAAGAAATGTGTACCATACATAAAAAAGAAGCTCTACTCATTTGGCAGCTATAAAAATATAATGCATACTGTATGCGTGTTAGTCTGATTAGTCTAAAAGTAGCAAGTTATACAGTCTAAATCGTGCTCGTGGTGAACATTGCCTATTGATTACTATTGTATGATCATTTTGATTTGATTTTTTTATTCAAGTCAATTAGACACACTATGACATGGAGACTGTGCCAGACAGGGTCCCAATTATATCAAATTGATAGACCTCTACCTACCCTTATGCTTTTAGCGCAATTTGCAGTGTATATTGTAGAGCGATAAACTACAATCTGGGCACTATATTTATTTTGGCAGAGTCATAAGAACTTTTAATCCTCCCCCTCCCATTCTGCCCCAGATGTAAGGATATTAAAGTGCCCATATTTGGCCAGAGCAGGCGCAACAAGCTCGGACAGTCTCCTCAGTCTCATCTCTATCCCGCTTCGGATCAGCCCACCCCTTGAGCAGTGCGTTTCCTGCACTCAGCGCACCCTCAGGGAACCACTCCGTCTTTCCTTTCACCCCTCCTCTTCACGCACATACGCTCACTTATATGCGGCGGTGGCTCTGCACAGTGCCGCTCACAGACCAGCAGCAGCAGCAGCAGCAGCAGCAGCAGCAGCAGCAGCAGCAGCAGCATCGGCCAGTGCGGCTCCAGACAGCGCTCAGGACCACGTCACGTCGCCTTCTCTCCAGAGACTGCAGCTTTTGAGCCCCTTGTCCGCGGGTGTGGGGGCCGTGTGGCTGCGGAGATCTGCTTTGCCTCAGGAGATACAAAAATAACGCGGAGAGAAGCAACACGTTCTGCATCACTGAGGTGAGTGCATTGGCTGATGGAGATTTCTACTGCCAGAGAAGCACGGGCTTCATTTCATTATTATTTTCCATAAGTTACATCATACTTGCCATCTCTAAATATACACACAGCACATGTGGTTTTTCCTCTCGCCTACATTTGGCCATGCAATGTTGCAGACAACTTTTTAGATTACATTCACGGGAAATGGTTTTTACAGTATGTTTATGTATGCAGACTCATTATGCACCATTACTGCTTATTAATATGCATTTTCAATATATTTATTTATATACCATGATTTTAACAGTTCCATCCACCAGATTGCACTGTAAGCAAATATGACTTATCAGTAGTAGACAAATAAGCACAAAACTGATTATAAATGAGCTGGCTTTGGAAACAAATAGTGCACATACAGGACAGTAGTAAACACACACAGGGCACACACATATACAGTATGAGAAGCTGCTGTTTCTAAAGCTAACTGTAAATATTTTAATATTAATACATACAAAATATATAGTGTAATGCTGCGGGTTATACATATATTTATAAAATGCATACTGAGATAATAGCAAAGTCGAAATACTGTTACCCAGCCTATACTGTACATTACATTTCTCTCATACTGTGTGCTCCCCTCATTTTATCCCATTGACCTGAGACCCTGAGCTGGACCCTGGGTCAGATCATTAGATAAAACTCGTTCAGAGCTTGTTCCTGGACTTTTTGGACATGAGAGGCACATATATAAGCTCAGTCAGTTAAGGCCGCTGCTTGCGATCCTCCTCAGATTAGCTGCACCAAGTACCATCTTCTTCCCTGTGTCTTTTCAGCCGGTCAGAGGAGCGTTCTATTTTTAGTCTCTATTTACAATGCAGTAGCTGTAGAGACAGGGGAGGCAGCTCCTCACCTGGATCAGGCAATTCTATACTCACACTCTGCCAATCAACTCTGACAATGAGAGCGAGATGATCACATAGTGTAATGATGCAATGTGACAGAAAAAAGTTTGTGGTTTAAAAATAGTGCATGGTTCGCTTTGTTTTGTCAGTTTTTGATGCAGTTCTGCTTGATGCATGCTGTGAAGCCAGAATAAGCTAAAAATAAGTCATTATCTCAAAGGAAGTTGGGGGAGATAAGCGGCTACGGTTGCCCTGTGGCTGATTGATGAAGACAAGACTGCCAATGTAATGAAATGAAACTTCCCTGTTTACTGCTTAGGGTTTTATTGAGAGACAAGAACTGTTTGAGAGAAATTATCTCGTAAACAAGTATGCATTTATTTGCTTTGGGCAACACACATTCAAGAAAAATCATAAAAAAGTTGTACGCAAATTGTAAATGTGCCAGATTGTAGCAAAACAGAGAATTTGCATCTCGTCTAAAGGCAGGTCACACAAACGATTAATAAGACAAAAATGAACATTCTCAAGCTCGGACCTTTCACTGGTTTTCATAATGTGATGATGCTAATATTCCCAGATGGACGGCAAGAACCAGTTTTCTCTAAATTGTTTCTAAAGGGTGATTTCATATGTTACAAAAAAAAATCTGAATTATACTTACAACAGTCCATTTACTGCTGTAATTAAACTTACAATGTGAAACTGACTCATTACAGGCAAAGTGAGATTTAGAAAGCCTTTATGATCTTGCACCAGAGTATATTACACATTTATCTATACATTCATACTAAACCAATTATTCAGCGTAAACTTGATTTTATTACATGCACAAAAAAGTATATATATATATATATATATATATATATATATAGATAGGTTTCCAGGACTCCCTTGAAAAAGAGGTTCAATGGGACCTGGTTATATATATATATATATATATATATATATATATATATATATATTTTTTTTTTTTTTTGAAACGGTTGATGCTATTTGTATACTTCTTCATACTGAAGTTTATTAAGCTAAAGATAAAGATTTTACTTTATTTTTCAAGTTATCCAACCCTTTTCTGAATAATGTCTTTGTTGTAGAATGACTCTGGTCAAGTTGTCTTAATCTTAAAGTAATTTTGTTATGTTATGATAATTCATTCATGCACACTGGGAGCTCTTGCGCAGTCTTTCCAATGTGGTTTCACTGCAAATGGCAAATCAAATCTTGTATCTTGTAATTGGCTCTTACCAAAATTAGAAGAGACAAATCCTTGGCATATGTCACTTTGTGGTTTGCTGCATCGTTTGTTGCTTTCACATTTGAAGTTTGAACGTTTTCCGAGTCGCACCTGAATCAGCTGCATCTGTATTAACAAAGTATGATAATAACGTCATCTGAAAGCCATGCAATAGTCAACTGCTGATCCTGTGTTTCGCATTCTTCATAATGTTGACCGTACATTATATTTCTGACCTATAGAGCGCTCCATTTGGCCTCGCTTTCCATCATCAGGGGACAGCAGTGTGAGCGATGAACCACCTGCCCCTTTTTCAAGCAGCCACTACTTTATATCATGTGTGTGTGTGTGTGTGACTTCGGGGCAAGAGGTTAATCTCCTGCAGCTTTTGACCTGAATCAGCACGTGACCTACATACACCCCTCCCCTCAAAGCCCCATCCACCAAACATCACAGACCTGTATTAGACCGAATACTTTTAATGCAAACCGAGTAATCCATTAATCTCAGCCGAGGCAAACGGAGGCACACGAGACACAAAGGACAAAGACGGTCATTCATATCACGCTTATGACAAATATCCAAGGCTCTCTAGTTTGTAAATATGAGAAAAGACAGCCCAATATGGCCTGTTGGGTTGTAACATGTTTGTGTTTGTATTTTTAATGGGTTTTAGGTTTTAACCAGTGGCCATGGATTTACACCCCTCTCTCCAATGAGCACCTGGTTTTAAGTTTAAGATTATTTCAAGCTGAGTTTTGAATACACAACACACATAATATTTAACAGATGCAAGAATTAGTTCATTTTACACAACTCGACGAGGGAGAGAGAGGAATTAGGATTGAGATTAAGAGATCCTTTATTCGTCCAAACAGTGGGGACAATTCAGTGTTGCATCACAAGTTACAGAACAGTAAAAATAGTACAACTTTCTTAAAAATTAAATAAAATCTCTATTGGTTGTAATTAGTTTTATAAATATCAATGACACAACACTTTGTACGTCTCAATTTTGTGGCAGTCATTTGTTTTTTTCGTAGTATTTTTGGTGACATTACTACGTCAACAGCAGTGGTAAGGAAAGTTTATTTTCTATAGCATGATTCATACACAAGGCAACAAAAAGTGCTGAACAGAGTAAGATTGAAATAATCCTACAAGGCAATAATATCATACATAATTACTTTAAAGAGTGCTCTGCTTTGTTTAACTTTTACATATCTCATAGTTTGCAGACATGTTACGCTAAATTCCTACTTGAGTATTGTGTATTATATATGTAAGTAAGTTCACAGTGTCTGGAAATGATTTGATGATCTACCAAAGTGCATTATAATGTGTGCATACTAGGATGTCACACTCATATAGTCGTCACGCTTCTGTTTTGTTTGCCCTTCCTAAGAAATTGAACAGTCCCAAATAGATTTTGACTCCTCCTTTATGAAGAAGATTTGGATACATGTCAAACCCAAGTGCTAAACCCCTCCCACATCCTGTGAGCCAGATGCAGATCTCCAAATGACACTTGGTAAAATGCCAGTGAAAAAAACATTAGAAACTTATTTATGCCTTTGGTCTGTCGTCTTTCAAGATGCCCAAGTATTACTAAAGACATATATAAATAGCCTATTATTGTTTTAAGTGAAGTTATTTTTTCTAAAACATTTTTGTAGCTGTAAAAACAAAAATGAGGTGACTTCCGTTCCAACAACACAAAATGTAACATTGTATTTAAATCCATACTTTCTCGCTCTCAAAACAGATGTATTTTTATAGCCTTTTTAAAATTTTATAGAGAGGACCACCGTCACTCAGCCAATCAGTTCACAGCGTCAAAGAGAGACTCACAGGGCTCCTTCTTGCAAATGTTTGACAATAACAATGTTTTCAAATACCAGGAAGATGGTCTGATTTATCCACAAAATTTGACTTTTACAAGACTCTTTCTGTTAAAGAACATGGGTCAGTAAGGAAAAATGAACGCTAGCTACCTCCATATGATTATTTAAGATGTTAATTCCTACAATGTGGTTGAATATACAAACAATCTTACTGAGAGTATATGACAATCTGGTATTGACAGAGCTGAATCTCTCTTCTCGCTTCGTTATGGAGACATGGACACTGGAGTTGGGTTTGCTCAGCTTTTAATGAACAAACAGAGTGAGTTTGACAGCCAGACAGCGGAGGACAAAGCAAAGACAGATTTTTGATTATTGCAATGTCATATTTGGATATAGACTTCACAATATTCCATAATATGCACTTTTGCTGATGGTGATAGAGATATAATAAATGATAGATATACCGTTTGTTGCTGTCACATGACCAGGAAAGAAGCACAATCTTCAGACACTATGATACAAACTCAAAACATGATGTCTGGGGAAACAAAATATTAGCCCTATATTTTCTCTGGACACTCATTATGTAACAATAACATAAACGTTACTGTATATGTATATGCATGTACCCCCCATTCACCAATACTACTGTACCTACTGATAGGACTACTGTACTCATTCATTCATTCATAAAATAATAGCAATAAAAAAACGTTAATATTCACTTATCCCATGTACAGTAGAACGCAAAAGCAGAGCGGTAACTGCAGACTCATGCGAAACCTGATCCCACTGCAATAGTCCGTCTCTGTCTCATATCAAACGCACACTCACAGTACACTACAGTACACT